AACTCAGTTTTTATTATAGGCTCTCCTTCCAACAGCAGTGGAAGAGGCAGGGACAACAGGAGCCTCTAATAACTATTACTGCATTTCTCCTGTGCAAAAACTATTTACTAAATATTTTTAGCAGCTGATAAAGAAACACAGCTTCTGGTTGAAGAAAACGAAGCGCTGATATTATAGGCCTTAGAACAATGCCTGTAGCAGCACAAGAAGCAATTCAGGGGGAGGTAACACTGACAAATCGAGAGCACACAGAAATCAACTTCCCACTGATTAAACAAGGGCCAGTCTAGTTGTACATTTAATTTCTTTTTTAACTGAAGCATGTCTTAGCATGATTGTACTACCAGGGTCCATTTTTAATCTCAACTAATAATATTGAATCTATGTAAACCAAATATAACAACACAATTTAAATTAGTGAAAAATGCATGTGTGAAATGCAGCTCCTGGGCCATTTGATTCATAAAAGACAATTAAACCAAGTCAGATAGTGCAGTCTGTACTGTGAAGAGTCCATAACATATTTCTGAGTGCACACCTCGGCCTGGTAGGGGATTGTTCGGATTTGTGTGGAATGAAGTTGTGTAACAGCCATAATCAAATTACTTTGTAATTTAAAAATCAGTTTACTTGCTTAATTAGTCTTGTCCCACTTTAGCATATGTAGAACAAGGCAGTGTAGACTATTTACAGTTATTAAGTAATGTCCCTTGTGCAAGACAATCCACATTTCCACACTTGAAATTGCTCTACAATTGCAAAAGGACAGCTAAATTCCATGGATGTCTGTCCAGAGCCTATGCTGCTATTGACTAGAACAAAACTATTTAAAAACAAAACCCCCAAAAACTGTCTTACTGTGTCTGCCTTAATATAGAAAAAGGGATGAACATGAATAATTGCTTATTGATTTAACCAAGTTTTCTCAAGCCAGACAAAAAGTTTAATTTGCTTTTGTTACAGATAAACATATCTATTTTAAATGTCAGTTTACTGCTTTCCCCCTGCTGCTGCTGCTGCTCCAGGCACAGTGATGGAAGCTAACACCATTTCACTGAAGGAATGTTTGCAGCTACTTGCAATGTTGGGATTTAGCTGCCTTTTATTTTACATAGAAAGACACAATGACAGCAGGTGGGTTTTGTGGTATTAATTTGCACACATAGTTGGGATACCTCACAAACACCCAGGGGGTGGTCTGATTACTTTTTCTTAGGTTTTTTTTTCCCCCCAGGTCAAGTAACCAGCCATATATATTTTTCTCTTCAAGTCTACATGAGAGATTTATGCAGCATTCCTAATTCTGTTGTGAAAAACGATCAAATTGTTGCAAAAAAAAATCAGTATGTGAGCAACAGGAAAAACATACTTACTTTTTGGTTATTACTGCATAGCCTAGTTCTAGAAAAACCGGCTTCAGTCTTAGCTTCTAGCAGATTTACTGTTTATGTAAATACAAAGAGTTAATCCAGTTTACTGTAAACTAGATTAAATAAGGGGGTTACAGAAGAGACCAAAATGTTTGGGATTAAAATAAAATTTAAAAAAAAAAGTCAATTTGCCAAGACACCAGTGCAGTGAAGCCCCATAGCATTTCAGATGAAGAAAGAATGTCATCTCCCATGTTAAAAAGCAAAATATTGTCTGTTAATGAGGACAGAAAAAGGCAGGAGTTTAAATCATCTCAAAATCAAGCAGTAGTTCTGGGGCATGTGTGCAAGTGAGTTTGCTTTAGTCAATTACAAGTCAAGGCTTTGCTTAGAAGCAAAATTCCAGAACAGGGCCCATAGATGTCCTGGCAAATACCTGCAAGGAAAGGAGCAAGAGTAAATGAAAGATTTTCACTGGAGTGAGCAGGCATGATGGAGAGTGGATGGACAAGAAGCAGGTGAGAGCTTCCTGTGTGCTCCACAGCTAACAACAAAGTACTCCGTCCTCTCAGCACAAACATGTGCCCTGCTTTCACATAGCCAGCTCTTCAGGCTACTGGTGCAAGGAGAAAAAAGTGCAAAGAAGAAGCTTGGATTTCACCTCAGTGACTGGCAGCAGCAGTTAATGGCAAGATCCTGCTTATGGCATGGATCATCAGATTAACTCTTCTGCTTTTGGAGAACCAGAACTGTTGGTGAGAAGGGCACACCCAAGCTGTCTGAGCAGTAAAACCTTTCATCCTTTGGACCAGAAGAACAAGATGAGCCAGGAGTAATGCTCAATCAAAGAAGTGGCACAAGCCACAGTTTGCCTTGGGAAGAAAATTGCAGATATTTATGCATTTTGTAAGAAGCTGCCTTTGAGAGTTAAGAGAGTCTGGAAAGTGACTATACCAGTTGGCCAAAGGCTGTGATCTAGAACCAAGCGGACTGTGTGGTTGTTACCTCAGGCTCTGCCTACTAGTTTTTCAGACCATTGTAACTTGGTAGAATCAAAGATTTTAATGGTCCTTTGTAGCTATGTCTGCTCCCACACAGTTACAGGAAAGGACAATAATTAAAAAGGAGCTAGCCTGTTTACATACCAAAAAGCACTATACCCAGGACATTTTCTGATCTACAGTGAATCAGCTCTGAATTACATTAATTGTATATGGGACAATCTCAGTCTAATTTGTTTTGCAAAGTTTGTTCTCCTAGCTCAAGGCTTACACATGAGCAATAGAAGGATCCCAGTAGTGAGACTGCCTCTGCTGGAGATTCTGCATTTAAGGTAACTCCAGTCTTTGCTTAATGCTTCATACTATTAGTCTTGTCTTTCATTTAAACTTGCTAAGTTTTCTCTATTTGGCAGATACACAGTTTAGAAAAAAACTCCATCCATAGTTCTTTTTATATTTCAGTGAAAACAGATCATCTCAGTAAGATTTTTTTTTTGTCTGCAGTAAAAAAGGTTAGATCACAAGCACTGAGTTGTAGCAAAGTGCTGCATTGCCATCTTGTTTTTAAAGTGGAACTTTAATTCAGGTACTTGGAGGTGTTTGGATTAGACACAGTCTTTTCTCAGGCTACACCCACCATCTGCATTGCACCAGTATTTAAACCTTTGAGTGGTTACATACTATTTGCATCAATGCAACATTTACATTCCTGCAAGAGGTGTACATGCCATGCACCATCCCCTGACAGGTGGAAACAGTTCTCTTAGGACAGCTATGTCCAGCTCCATGAACCTTCATGCCTTTTGTGTGAACCAAGTGGGAAAAAGGAGTTAAAGTGACTGGATGGAAAGGAGAAAATGGGGAAGGGAAAAAAAAAGAGTGAAAGGAGCAGGAGCCAGTGTCAGAGGAAAGAGCCAAATGTCAAAGGAAAGAGAAGTAAAACAGCACAAGAAGACAGACAATACTGCCAGGCTATGAAGATCTAGCATCTTCAGTATGCTCCTCTACTGACCCTCTGCTGTCAGCTGAATCTCCAATCAAAGCGTGCCTCCTCATCTGCAGCAACTGCTGTTATAATGTATTTTCAAATTATGCTGAGAGACAGTAGATATAAAGTGATTCTTTAAGAAAATAATGCTGAAATTAAAAATACATATTATCTCAAGCAACTGCTCCTTAGATTTAAGAAGCATTTCTTTTTATCATATCTGAATCAGATACAGTCTGTTTGTATGATTCCAAAATCTCCTTTACAGGGATCTCTTTGACTTGTTGCACAGGATGGGCTGCGTTCCTGTGAAGAATGAGAACGGCATACCAAAGGAGAAACCTGTTCCAGTTGTCAAGACATCTCTCTTGCAAGAGAAGAGGTGATGTTACAGACCAGAGACATCTCAATACCTACTGGGTCCACTAAACTCTCACCCCAGTTCTGCCAGGTGCTGCACAGGCAGTAGGTTGTAGTGTGTAGCTGGTACCCAGTCTGTGATACCAGGGGTTGTGTTTTGGAAGTACTTGTCACAAAGGCAATTAAGACAGTGGGAGCTATGCTGCAATCATATAAAGTACTACAAAGAGAATCCTAATCTTTTTACATCTCAGTTCAAGCTCTTGAAACTATCCGGCAGTCTTGATTTCAAACTCTGTACATCAGAGTTCCATATGTAACACAGGCACAATATTCCCTTACTTTTCTCATTGTCAGGAAGATAAACTAGTACAAAAAGTACACAAAGCTGTCAAAGAAAGTTGATTTAGTTTGATCCCAGCAAGCCTTCAAGGGCTGAGGAAGGGATAGCACCATAGGGAAACTGATAAAAAAAATAATCACTTCAATGCAAGGTTTGGATGGTTTGCAAAATAAGCAGGGCTCAGAGCGACACACTGCATACTGAACATAGACACCCCCATGCTGGTTGAGGCATTGACTTCATGATAGGGCAAGCACAGGGAAAAAGAGAAGACATATGACTGTGTGATTTAGAGCCCTGTGAGCACAGGGCAGCAGGTTACCTACAGGTACTTATTACGATGCTGGCATTTTCTTATTTTGTAGTGCTTGAGTGTCTGAGCTGGACAGGTCAAGATTTAATTTTTTAAATTCAGGGTTGGTATTAATTGATTGTGGCGAACTTGACACAGATTCCATTTACTCAAGGTGTTTACCACAACTTCCTACCATGCCATCTGCACCAGCACCTGCCCTGCCAGTGGGTCAAGTGTACCACATTTGCTTTGTGAAGTTTTTCCCTATACCTTTGTCCCCCAAAGCAGCAACCCACTAATTTTCTCCTCCAGCTTCTGATCAGACTGTATATTTATTTCTTCCTCCTGAGACTGCTCTGTTGATTATCTGCCTCCTTTTTATCAAGTAGCCTGCAAGTGCAGTGCATGCCCATACCATTCCAGATAAACATCCCAGCCACCCAAATGGTTTGAAAGCAAGCCAAGTGACTTTGCCTATCCCCGTCTCAAGCTCCCACTTTTAATAATGTCTGTGTTACACAACATCACAACAACTTACCAACACAAATCCTGCTTCCCACGGCCCTTGGTGCCGGGGCTACCTGCACTCTGAAACACCTTCTCAGACCACACTTTATTTTTTCCCTTTGTTTTGGCTTGGCTCTGAGCGTGCAGAGCTGAGCCAGCACCTCTGTCGGCTACATGGGGGTTTAGCTGTCCTCGCCAAAGGAGTTGTCAGCAACAGCATGACAGGTGACAGCAGTTTCCTGTTTCTGAAAGCAGTGCTACCAGCCACACCATCCCTCACCTTAATTTAGAAAGCTGTTTTGTTGTCATCTGGTTCTACACTTCCACATGCAGGCTGAGGGCTGAAACAGGAATAACAGCACTGGGGTTACACGACACTTTCCCTGCTCAAACCACTGGGCAAGGAAAGCCACAGGAATTGTTCATTGTAAGCATTTCCCACAGAATAAAACCAACACGTAGGAGCAGGAGGCAGTCTTGCTCCTCTGCATTTTCTAGCATAACATAACAAATGAGCGTGCTCAAGAACCACATATGGAATGAGGTATAGCTCTTAAATTTTACCCTGTGGACATTCTACGTTTGCAGTTGAAGATTTATTCCAAATATACTTCTCAGCTCTGAGTATCTGTCAAGTGGATTCTTATTAATGGGGGAAAAAAAAAATAAAAAAAAAGCAGAATTTTTCTCAGCATAAGGGATGAAATCAATCTCTGTTACTATAAATTACAAACAAAACTAGAGCTAATCTCAGAGATTATTTTTATAGCCACTTCTTCTTGCAGTTTCTAAAAAGCAGTCTCAAACCTTTGAAGTTTTTGAATCTAAATTCCTGCTTACAACTGTTAAAATATGAGGGGGTTTTTTTTTCTGTATCCACCAGCTCTCTGAGGCACCACCTTCTGTAGCAACATTACAGATGCCAGCCCCACAATCTGTGCTATGCAGACAAACACCCACACCTTGAGCCCTCAGTGGACCCACGTGCCTGGTAAATCAGAGAGTCAGAAATCCAGCAACAAACAGCAGTAACAAAAGCACAATACATGCTGCAACACGTACAGTGGAGATGTAAGTCACGTCACTACAAAACACCAGCCCCCACTGTGCATATATGAAAAAAAATTCAGAAAGAGGCACAGATTTGAGATAAAATGTGATGATTGCAATCCTAATAGAATTCAGTACTTTAACCCTGTATTGTACAATGTCTGGCAACATTATTTCAGCATTGTTTTTAAACAGAGATGTCTAATCCATAAAATGGTATCCATAAGCTTTTCTTCTAGAAAAGTACAGTGAAAAATTGTTCTTTCTTTCCTTTTGAAGACATAAAGTACCTAAAAAGATTAATAAGTAAAACTATGGGAACTAGCAAACATTCCAGTTTTTCCTTTAAGACATTAAAATTTCTAGTTTGGTTTGGTTCTGAAAGCTTCTAAACAAATTATGTAAATTACCTATCCTAAATACTTGGTTCACAACAACAACAAAAGGAGTTAATGATGATGTTACTTTTAGTCTTCTAAAGTTATGCTAATGAAAACACTAATCAAAGATTGCAGTCACATTTTCAGTCCTTGCCAGTTGTAGGTGGATTATGTTGAGCAATAAAATTTATAGCTTTATCATGACACAACATATATATAAGGCTGAGCTGATTCAGTTGCTAATGAAATGTGATTTGGGGACTCTTGCACCAGCTGGTGATGATTAGGGCTTATCACAGATAGGTCTAGGAAAAGGCTGGGAAATACTTAAGCTTGTTTTGCAGTTGCTTTGAGCTCTTAGGAAAGGAGCAGTTTCTCTGCAACATCAGCCTGAAGTTTTCTGCCCATACAAAAGAGGTAATGATAAGGATTTTAATTGATTTGCAAGTGATAGGGTAATGTGAAGTCTGACAAAATCCTTCCAAATCTTCCTGGTTTAGTGCCTTTTAAATTGTGAGATGGGTATTTTGTCTCCTCAGCCAGCTCAAGAAAAATGTTAATTAAGCAACTGGCTTCAGAGAAACCTTGCAGAACTTGCTCTATATGATGCCTCTTGACTTGAAGTTCTGCTTTTAATAGTTACCTGCTGGCACAACAAGCAACTCTGCACAGGTTTCCCACAGCAAAAAGGGATCCTAAATGTAGTTTTTGCTTATGGGTATGACTCCATATAAACTGTAAGCAGAAGGACCACTCAAACATCTAAGTTACTGAATAGTTTTTAAAATAATTAATGTAATAAGAAGGTAGCTCCTACCCTCATAAAAATAAATACTTTTAAAGCAGAGGAAGTTCAGAATTAAACTCTGAATTCTAGAATATCTTGTCCATACATGCTATCAGTTGGGGGGGAAAAAAGGGAGAAAAACTTTACATATGTGGTAGAATACCTGTCTCCTTAACATAGACTAGCTCAGCTGCAGGGCAGATTTCTGTTTAAAGCTCTTCCTGCTGCAGAGGACTACACACTTCCTACTCCTTTCCTCAGTAAGGGTGGTCTCCAGCTTCTCTCAAAAGAGAACTGTTGCCTGTCAACTGAAAACTACACAATAACTTTTAAAAAACAGTAGTTTTCATGAAGTGTGAGATTTCAAATTGGGTGATTAAATGACTGAGAAGTTTTTCAGAGTGGATTGAACTAAAAAAGTGTCACATATAGCAGAGCATGGTATAAAAAGCTTCCTCATGTTTTTATTTTGATTTTTATTATTAAATAAATCTAATTTTGATTCTTTTGTAGCCTAAAGGAGGATTTCATGAGGGGGTTATTTTTTTCCTTGAATGTCTCTTATTCAGGTCAAATTCAGTCATTTTTGTAAAAGAAAGCCATTTCCTTTTCTATTGAACCGAAGGCTTGCATATTTAAAATTCCCCTGCAAATGGACAGAGGATTCTGTGAATTTGTTTTTCAGAACAGCTGCTTACTTGTGTCCCAGTATATGTTCATGATATTTAAAGTCTGAGTTTAGGTATGGCAGGGGGGAAGGTTAGGCTCTGTTGTATGAGCGTGGTGATGGGGTTTTTGTGTGTTTGGTGTTTTTTCTTTTCACTACTATATTACATGGTTGTAAGACTGTACCTGACAAGCTTTCAACATCAAAGTGCTCAGAAACACTTCAGAGTAGTGCTTGCTTTAGAGATGTGAGTATGCAGTGCCAGTCTGAGATACGGAGTCATCCAGAGGAATGATAGGTCAGCAAACCTCCCGCTTACAGGTCAGGTGCTACTTCTTCCCTAACAATGTTACCTGCTTATTACACTCCCTTTGAAATAATGTCATTATGTATTTGACTTAGAGTAAGAAAAAAGATTCATGAGAGCTGTACCTAATACAAGTCCTTTAAGTGTCAACATTCTGCTGACGTATTAGCCAAGAACTAGATGAAGAAACAGATTTGCTCCTTTGTTTAATACTTCCACAATCTAACAGGAGGTCATATGACACTAACCCACACAGAGGGCACCCTGGCTCTTTCTGAGATGTATCACATGAGCAGTAATGCTTCCAATACAGATGCTGGGGCTGCCCTTGGTGCTCCTCAGCAGGGCTGGGCTGGGTTACAGAATTCCATGGTGGCTGCTTTCTTTTGGGCCTGTACTGGAGGCTACAGTGCCTCCATTCTGTGGACTCTGCCCAGTGTGGAAGGGCTCAGTGCTCTCCAGAGTGCTTCCCTGAGAAAATGCAAAGCCATGCTTCTCTTCTCTGGAACTGGATGAGGATATTGTCTATCCTTTCCTTACTGCTAACTATAAAGTACTGCACAGAAAAAAGTTCAAAATTAGGCCAGAAAGAGGAAGAAAGAGAAGCATAAATTAGCACATTTTTCTGTGGATTAAATTTGTTAAGCCCCTTTTGAGGATAAAGGCTTAGGAAAGGTGAAAGAGTAACATAAAAATAACAACAAAACCAGCAACATTTTAAAATGCTTGTTAATGAAAGCTTTTGTCAAAAAGCACAGAAATGCTGCTCTTAGTCTGAGATTGATTGTCATGGAACAGACTGACTTTGGCAAAGTTTCACTCCTCACTGTTGTGAACTTTAACTCTCTTGGAACAGAAGAATTAAGGTTAGAAGGAGGATCTGGAGGCCATCTGGTCCCTTTCTTATGGCAAAACTACTCTCAAAGACAGGTTAGTCTGCTCTGGCTCTTGTCCTGTTGAAGTACAGAGACTGAGCCTCTTTCCTGGGCAGCCCATTCCAATGTTCCTTCACTTTTCCTGTAGAAAATTTAGGTCAGTGTGGTGCTATCACCTTCAGGGTTTCCAGACTCAGACCAGCAGGTTTCCATTGCCTTTGTTATCCATAAGGTGCACTGTGTGAAATGCAAATTTAATTATGGCCCAAGTACTAGGCTAGTGCAAGTGTTTTTGTTTGTTTAGGAAGGATTTCTGATAAAAGTTCCCTGGAAGCTCTGATAGCAATATGCAGTTACCTGGGATGGAGCTTTCTCACCCTCTGCAGTGGGTGCCAGGGCTGGATGTAGTGTGCCATACATGCCATCCTCTACCAGCTTGGTTCCTGACCTAGTGGCTACAACAGCACTCTGGATGTAGCTTTGTTGAAACATACCTTAATTTTTTTCTTCTCACTCCTTACAAATAAGAAACTGTTAGGACAGTTGGACTGATTAATATTAGTTACATTCTCGTTAATGAGATTAGGAATATGGCCTGAAGTCCTTCTTCTAGAGGAGCAGAGCACTAAGGGATAAAATGTGCTACCCCAAATGCCCTGTGCTGAATGAGGGCCAGATAACCTGGAGCATCCTATGCCCCAGCTTTGCAAAATCTTTGATCACAGCAGCCAGCAGAAATATCTTAAAGAGCAGGTGAACAGGTGCTCAAATGCCTCTTGTGACTTTGCCACTAAGGTAGATACAGTTTCAACTAAGATTTCTCAATCTGAGTTTTATTTTTGAAGGCTTTACTTTTACTTCTGCTCTTTCCTGGCTGGCTGTGAATGCAAACAGGAAGACCTAGACATGCAAGTTAAATGTGCTGTCTTCTGGGAGGATTGTGAACTTTCTGTAACACATCTTCCTAGGTATCTTCTGTGGATTTTTACACAAGAGGATATTAATATTTCAAGTGTAACCACTGTACTTCAAGATTAGATTAGATAATTTCTGATACCTATTAATACCTTCCCCATGAAGGTTAAGGATTTTACATTCCTCTATTCAATGAAGACTCTTGCAGAAGTTCAGCACAGCAAATGACATGTTTTACTCCTTCCTGTGAGGGCTAAGAAGGGCTCGCTGCAGCCCACCTCCCTTCTCTTTGTTGTACAGCACTTCTCCGCTGGCAGTGATTCAGCTCCTGATGGAGGAGCAAACCATTCCCAGAGAGGTGCCAGCAGCTCTAAAGCGCCTGGCCAAATACATAGTGCGTGGTTTCTATGGTGTGGAGTGTTTCCTGGCTCTGGATGTGCTGATCCGCTACCCCTGTGTGAAAGAGGATGACTTGTTACAGCTGCTCAAGTACGAGCGCAAGCAGCTGCGCACCGTCCTCAACACGCTCAAGGCGGACAAGCTGGTGAAGCTGAAGATGCGAGTGGAAACGGGGCCCAACGGGAAGAGCACGAGGCACAATTACTACTACATCAATTACAAGGTGCTGGTGGATGTGGTAAAATACAAACTGGATCATGTACGCCGGAAAATAGAAGCAGATGAGCAGGATTCAACTACCAGACCCTCTTTTAAATGTCCATCCTGCTCTAGCACGTACACGGACCTTGAAGTCAATCAGCTCTTTGATGCATTTACAGGTGTGTTATACTGCTTATTTTGCTTATATTACTTATTTGCTGTTATCTTAAAGAATAGCCCTGATAGCACAAAATTGTTTCCTAAGTGAACTTTGCAAGAAATGCAGTTTGTTAGACGCTTCATGTTTGCTGGTGGACAAGGGTCTGGAACAGGAGATGCTGGGAAGTGAGGGTAAGAGAAGTGCTGCCTCTGTAGAACAGGCCAAACAAAAGGAAGATTAATCTTGAATGTATAAGCTGGGGTTCAGAATCAGATTCCAGGCCTTAGCTTTGCTTTGAGCCTGGTTGAATAATCTTAACTCATCAAAGTCTTGTGAGTCTCACTTCCTCATGTGAAAATATGAACACAGTACTGTCTTTACTCTGTTTTGAATCTCTTAATCTATTTGTGTGGTCAGGCCTTCAGATGGAAGAGTTGGACAAGATGGGTAAAACTGTTTGCAGTCATCTACTGTAATAAGCTTCTTTCAGCTCAGTGGCACCAGAACAGAGATGTTGTCACTCCTGGGCTGGAAGTTCCCACTCCTCACGGGTCAACAAAGCACATCTAGAGCAGAAGTGGTGTCAGAGCTTGTGGATTTTTCTTCTCTAAAATCAAAATAACTAAATCATTATTTCAAAATGAGTAAAAATGGCATCATAGTGTAATACATTACTCAGAGCACAGCCACTGTGCTGACATCTGGGTCATGGGATCTGTAAAGGATGCCAGAGCCAGGCAGAACGAGCTTTATACATGACTTATCTGAAATACCAGTGGTGGAATTTGTGTTCTGCCAGTTTGCAAAATCATCCCCTTCTTCTAAACGGAGGGACTCTGTTGAGTTATTGAAATGCAAATGTTGAGGCTGGTGATATATTTTCATGGAATAAGCTTGAAGTTTTGTTTGTTTCCCTGAAGATATAAATATGGGGTTTTAGCACATGCCTTGACTCTGACTCAGGAACAACTAAAACCGGAGGCTACTTATGCTTGAAAATGTCCTTTTTTATTTTTTCTTACATTAAGTACTGAGAAGATGAAGCTGGAGAAATAAAAAAAATAAACTGATGATAGTACATTTCTATCCAGCTTAAACTTCTCTCTGCAGACATTTCTCACTTGCATACCAAGCGTATAATACCAGCCTGACGCGAGTTTGCCTGTAGAATTGAGCTCCTCTAGTTAATATGAACAAATGGATAAAGTCAGAATGTCTGGATAAATGTTCAGACTGCTGAACAAGGTACTGCTGATCTTTTTGTATTCTATGAACATGAGACTTCCCACTTTGGAACATGTTGCAGAGACTTTCCGCTGCACTTACTGCAACACTGAAGTAGAGGAAGATGGCGCAGCATTTCCAAAGCATGATGCTCGAACCTTGCTGGCAAAGTTCAACGAGCAGATCGAGCCTGTCTTTATGCTGCTGCGCGAGACGGATGATATTGTGCTGCCCTATGACTTGCTGGAGCCTCAGCCAACAGAAATACTCCAATTATCAGAAAGGTATGAACATCACCCTAGAACTTCTGATCAATGCAAATCTCTCCAACAACTTTACAGTCGTAAACTCTTTGAAATACTGAACTTGGAGCTTAGGTACTCCACTCTGCTTTATTCAGTACAGTCTGCTGTTTAATGAAGAAGTCTGTAATATCTAAGGCATCCTAAATTATTGCTATGCATTTTCAGTTTTTTGATACGTTTTTATAAGTAATTTATTTTCCCGAGTATTCCTTCAGCTAATGCTCATAGCCCTTTCTATAAGAAAGTTACATTTCTCTGTCAGTGTGCTTCATCCAGAGACACACCACTGAAGAGACCTTGTGAAAATCAATGGTTCAGAACCACTTGTCTCTGAGAGAGGTAAAAGGGAATGTAAATTATTAGAGCACTTGTTAAAGCTAGTCTGCCAACAAAATGTTGTTTTGGGATTTGTTTCTTTGTGATTGTTCAGGTTTTTTTTAAATAGGAACTGGGCAGGGCAGGGGGTGGTGTTCTTGCCTGAATTCTATCTCTTCAAAATGTGATGCTTCATTCAGCTTTGATCCGAAGCTGGGCTCAAGTATGCTTGAGGAATCCTGCAGCTGCCCTGAAAAATGGGCACACAGAAGTTCTGCTTTTGGCCTTACATACACCCAAAACATAACTATTGATGTCCAACACTCAAAGCCCAAGAAGAGAAGAAGAGAAAAAGCAACTGAAAAACAACCTATCTGGTTGTCACAGAGCACTGTGGAAGGAGCAGCAACAGCCACCAATAGTGCTGGTAAGTTTAGTGAATTCACAAATTAATTCAGCAACCTTAGTACACTTAAATACAGCTTTCCCACTGAAAATCTAGTGAGCTTGGTTTAGAGGACAATGTTTCAATTCTGTGTTAGTTAGTGGTTATCAGACCTTAGTTTCCAAAATCTAGTTTTAAGCCTGATTGGGGTTATATTCCTAAAGCTAGAGGTCAGGTGGGTCCTGAAACTTCTCTGGCTTTAGCCATGCAGTAATTTCAGTGGTAATCTTTACAGTGGAAAGCTCTCAAAATGTCTGTACTTTCCAGAGATTTCTAGTGTGGGTAAAAAAGATTCAGAGTAGAAAAAACCCATCTGTGTAGGATGCTTGTGGTAACTGTAAACAATCAATCCCTCTAACACTTAGTACTGTGTATTAGGAGTAAATGCTTCTGAAGAAACTGAAGAAAATGTCAAAGAAACTGTCACTGATAATGAAATCATCAAGACTCTTCTGATCCATGAATCCAAGTCATCATCCTGCACAGACCAGGCTCCAATTGTCAAAAGAAAACTTCATGGATCACAGAGTGGTAACAGTGAGTTTGAAGAGGATGTCAAGCACTCAAGACATGCAGGAATGAAAGTACCAGGCAGCAACTTTGAACTAGAGGAGGAACAGGAAACTCTGGGTCCTATTGTAAGGGTAGCTGGCCAGCCCTGTTCATATGGCGAAGTTAGTGAAAACCCAGAGCTTGTGTCTCTCATGACAAGTGAAGAGAGAGATGCTTATATAAAAGTAGGACAAGAAATGTTCCAGTCTGTGTTTGAGTAACTACTACTGTAGGAATATCCAACCTTGTATAGAATGGATGAAGGCTTCTGATTTATGTTCTTCAAAGTTTATCACTGAAGGGTTTTGTTTGAACTTGCTCTTAAGCAAGATGGTAATCCCGTAGTAGGTAACTACAGTTCAAATATTATCATTGCAGCCACAGCAAGTGTTGTTTGCTGTTGTAATGCTTAGACTTGGTGGATGATGTAATTAGTTTTGGAACATGAATCATTTCAGGATATGTTTAGATCTGATTAAAATGACATTTGAAAAGCAGTGATGCAATCTATAGTAAGAAATAAATTACTCCACCTTCCTCCCAGAAGTAACAGTTACTTCCAGCAGTGAAAAGGATTCCAAATCCAGTATGACTTGGTTTCATTCCATACATGTGTTCTACTAGTGTGTTAGGTCACTCACTGTACAACAGTAAAGGACAGGTGTCACACAGCAACCTCCTAAAGGAAGAGCTGTTACTAAATTGCATTAGCAATTTAAGGTGAGAAGCAACTCTGGCCTCTGAACTTTCATCCTAGGAATAATTTTCCAAATTTTTGTACTTAGGGTACTACAGAATCATCTTGAGCGGTGGACCGTGCAAGGGCCATTGGACAGCAAAATGTTACATTTTGTTCTGGTCTAGATCAGTAAGGGAGCAAGCAATGTATCAAGCACAAGACTCTGCTTCTCACATCTCACACCCCAGTGCTCTTTTTAAGCAAGAAACAAATTCTGCTTGAAAATGAGCTACATGAGTAGATGGACTAGCATTAAGCATAACTGAGTTTTTCTTCTTCAGGAGTTCTACTACTTGAGCAAGGCATAATGAAAGTAGAAGGGCACAAAGCAAAACACAGGAGGTTCCCTCTGAATGTTAGGAAACACTTCACTTGTAAGGGTGACAAATGCAGGCCAGCTTGCCCAGAGAGGTGGTAGTCTCCCACCAGGAAGATACTCAAAAGCCACCTGGGCAAACAGCTCTGAGTGGCACTGCTGGCACAAGATGACATCAAGAAGGCCCTGCTGACCATTCCATAATGAAACAGTAGATAGAAGGTATGACCAAAGAAATACCATTTTGATGCATTTTTCATATACACATACTGTGGGGTTTTGACTGGTGATTTTCTTTTCAGTAGCTACTGTTGGGCTGTTTTGAACCTCTGTTGAAAATAGATGTAGATAACACAGAGATGTCTTCATTATTGCTGAGCAGCACTTGCACAGAGTCCAGACTTTCCTGCTCATTACCCTGTGTCCCCAGTGAGAAGCCTGGGGATGCACAGTTAGGATGGGACACTGCCAGAACAGCTGCCCCTCACTGACCAAAGGGCTATTCCACACCACAGGGCGTCATGCTCAGCATACAGAGCTCAAAGAAGAAGGAACAGGGGATAGTTGGAGTAATGACATTTGTCTTCACAAGTCCTTGTTGTGCATCATGGAGCCCTGTTTTCCTGGTGATTGCTGAACACCTGCTTGCCATTTTGCTTTGCTTGCATGTGTAAGCTATTGTGTTTACCTATTAATCTTTCTTTCAACTACAAATTATTTTGTTTTCACTCTTCCACTTCCCTCTCTGATCCCACTAGTTGGGGTGTAAGCAACCAGCTGCTTTGTGCTCAGCTGGGGTTAAACCCACCATTCCAAGTCAAGAATTCAGGAACGGGGGGTACTCAGGTGTTGTACTGTATTAAGAAACATGGTATATTCCTGAGACCTACCCTCTGATCTGTAGTGTGTTAGCTCCTGCCCTCCCTACTCCTCCCCTTTAGTTTTTTCCTATTGGTTCTAACCTGTTCTCCTTTTCCTCTCTCCCCCTGTTCAAAAGACAGCATGGGATCAGACTCTGTCTCTTTTCTGCCCTGGGCGAGTTCTGATTAAAAGCTGGGACGCTGTCCCAGCAGGAGAGAGCCTCCTTGTCTGTGTCTCTAGTCCTTGCTATTAACTCCCCCCAGCCTCTCTGGACCATGGATGTGCGGACGGCATCGCGGAGGCAGGGGGATTTTAAAATAGCACTCAGGCTCTTTCTTGAGCTTAGAATTTAATGATTCAAAATATAAACTAACCTTATTTCAAATCTGCACACATAATCTCATCTCATTCTACTTAATAAAAAAATATAAATTCCTCTTTTGGGTCTGAGTGATTCTCGGGCTAAATTATTAATTAGAACTTTGACTGTTTCAGTTTGCCTTTGCCACAATATATTTCCATGGTGAAAACTAGAAAAAATCACAGAAGAATTACATTCTCATTTTATTTAAACTTCAAGCATATTTAGGCTTCACCATCACTATACTGTCTCCCACGGTATATAGCCATATTATCATACTAACTTCAAAAGCAACACAATCCTGAACTGAAGATGACCAGTGCTTTTTAACTACTTTCAAGAAAAGCCTTGTGTTTAAGGTAAACAGGATTTTTATAATGCAGCAGGTCTGCTGAATAAGCTGCTTCAAGCTCAATTTTATGACTTAGAGCTGCTGATAACACTGATCTGAAAAACTGAACAAGGTTTTCTTATCTACTTTTCTGTAATTCTAATTCCATCTTTACCATGACACTCGAGGAGGTGCTGACTTCGACTGTTTTTTAAAAACATTAACTTTAATTGTAGTTTCCTGAATTTCATTACAAAGTCAAACACTTGAGAATGTATTCTACAGACCTTCAATTGCAGCAATTTTAAGTGTTAGCTATGAAAAGATATTAACATTTTCAGACAGGTTTAATCCTTTGAACATCAAAAGGATTCAGCAAATGCAGAATAATACAGCTGGTTTCTGCAATTAACTACAAATCTGGGGTATTCAACTTCACCTCAGATAAATGTGCTGATAGGAAGGAATTCTGAAGGCCATGAACAGGAACTTTTTTGTTACAGATAAGCTATACTCTAGGCTATAAAGACAACATCTAGGTACGTACTGAGTCTATACCTTGTATTTTGAGAAGATACAAGAAACTTGGAGAATTTCTTGTCCCAGAAAAATTAGCAGTGTTTCTTATAAGAGAAGAGCACACTGCTACAAGCATGTCAGCAGGTCAATTAACTTCCAGCACCAAACTCAGCATACCAGTTTATAAACCAAAGAAAATTTTTCAAAAGAGAAAATTTACAGACAAGTCCAAACTTTATTTAAAACTACCATTTTGAACAATTTTAAAATTACCAAACAAGTCACAATAAAAAATAAAAAATTAAGACAGAAAAAGAACAGTGCAGCAAAACTGAATAGAAGTGTATTCAGTTCCAGCTGTTTAAACTGCCACAGGCAGAAGATCACATACCTATCCTAAGAGGCAGCGTGTTAAAAATTTTACATTTTTATACACTTTCAGAATTCTGGGACATTAGTGCTGATCTTCCATATGCACTTGTATACATAGAGTTTATAAATGCAGATATCTCCGGGTTATTCTTATGCGTTTTGAGCTCCAAAAGTTTCTGTAAAATAAGAATAAAATCATTGTCTCTACAAGGTATCAAAGAGCTCATGACCATATTTGGACTGTTATTTCATCCTCACAAGCATTTTGAGCCATGGCTTACTTACTACAGCCATCCCCCCATACACAGCTAAAGAATGGCTCAGAACTAGCTACAGCTTTGGTGTGGCATGGCACTCTTGGTCAGACTGCTCCCACAGCAGGCCTGGGCATCAGTAACCACCAAATGGGCACAACAGGCTTGTGCTGGCAGAGCTGTGACCGAAATGGAAGGAAAGATTTGTTCTGGAAAAAGTCTGTGCTGCCACTGTAAATGCATTAAATAAAAAGCAGGTTCATCAGCTTATAGTATATGAGGAAATGGAAGGAGGGACACGAGCAGAAAACTGCTATTACCAGAATACCCAGTTCATGCCTTTATATATGCCTTAACTGTACACTTCACTGGAGTACAAGTCTACTTCTCTATACTTCTCCACAAGTCTAACAACAGAATTACTTTAATACTGTAATTTTGTCACAATATTATCGAAAAAAAACCCCAACCCAATTTTCTCTGACCTGCATTATCATTTTGTATCTGCATAAAAAATATTTCATGACAGTGAAAAATTTTATTGCTGTCATACACACTGGAACTTTTTTCTACCACATGGTATACCTCATACAATTTCTTTCTCCCTGAGGAGTTATTTTACAATTCAGAAAAGTCTCTTGAATGTTTCTATCACAAAAACAACAGAGCAGTCTGTCAGGAAATTATACTGAGTGTTATTAAATAAGATAATAGCAATTATAATATACAATATTATTAAACCCTTAAATTATTAAAGCTTGTGTAGCAAGAAACAAAAATACTGCTCCATTTAAATAAGTTTCAAAACCATTATGTTGTGACATGCTCTTTAAATATGTTAATTTTTATGACTTTATCAGCCACAGAATCTAAAGTATATAGAAGGGAGATGGACAGCGAGATAAAATCCCTTCATATCAATACAACATTTTCAAATGCATGATAACAAAACCCAGCACCACAATAACTGCTTACTTCAATCAGAGATATTTAAACTCTAGCATTCCAGAGTGTTTCCCCAATATGTGTGCAGATCATAGAAAATAATTACCAGGTTCTTTCAATGTTTGGGCATCTCCTATTAATTCTTGATCTTGAGCTCCACCTCCATCCAGTAATTCATCAGACAAACTCTTGCTTTGGGCCTCTGTTTCCATTTTCTTCATTAAATCTGCCTTTGTAACAGAAAAAGCAAATCTCAAAATTCTGGATAATTCTTACCGCTGCCTGTGTAACAGACATTTGGGGTATGCACTTCTGAGCAACAATCCCACAAATAATAGCAAAATACCTCTGAATACACAGCAAGTTTGAGGGGCAAGTCTTCAACTTTCACAAAGTCATCTTCATCAGATTTTTGACTTACATTTCCAGAACCAGGTTCCTGTTAATAAAAATTATGAGATTTAAGAAGTGCTATTTTGTTTTCTTTTCCCTCCAAAACTATTAGAGTACATCAAAAAAAAACCAACGCGCACATCAAATTTGCAGACAGAAACAAAATGACTGAAAACCAGAAATAACACTGAAATAGAAAAAAGCCTATTATTTCTCTTGGACGTATCTTAACTGATATATACATACATATTCATTCACTAGCACAGGTGACTCTGTATCAGGGCTGCCAGCCATGGAGCTCTCAGAACTTGCACCAGATTTGTTTTCTGCACACGTGGTATCTGGTGTTTGAGTTTCATTCACTGCTAAAGAGGAGCTTGATCCTTCTGTTTTCACAGTGTCTGTTATAAACGATTCTGGGGTATCAACTGTTAAAGCTGGTGTATTCTCCATGACACTGAGGTAATGAGGCACAGCTGCAGCCGCATCTTGTTCACCTAAAACCATAGAATTGCATTTTAGCTAGGCAGAGTTAGTAAAATATTCTGAACATATAAAAATGCCAGATTATTATTTTTAAAATTATGATCCAAAGATACAAATGAGCAATGAAAGTGAATTATAGTCTCTCAGACAAACACATAGCTGGCTGAAGTTATTTGTACACTTACACACTTAAGTATAAGCAATTTATCATAAGAGTGGGTGACTTGATTTCTGACTCAGTACAGTTTTTAAAAAACACACAAAAAACAACTTCCAGAACTAAGTGAGCTATTATAAAATATTACTTCTAGGTATGAGAACATAACAGTAAATTCCTTAATATTTTGCCACTCTAATATTGATTTTTAGTCTACAAAAAAAGGCCAAGAACAACGTTCATGTTTGCAACAGAAGAACACAGGGAGGTGGTAGTAACAACAGCTGCACTAGAAATAACATTCACACAACCCAGTAATGCTTCCTTCTTTTGATGAAAAATAATTTCTTTGCTCTTAGGCATTTACAACATAACTCACAGAAACAAATAAGTAATTTCAATAACTAGTAAAATGGCAGTAGCAGAAAAACCAAGTACAAGACATATCTAAACATCAAAACACGTATTAATTCTGATACAGTTGTGTGCCAAGAGCTGCAGCAATCAGCTAAAATTCTTGCTCATGTCAAGCATCAAAATCACATCTACCTAACAAAGATTATTCTATGTTTCCTCTTTAAAAAGATTTTTGTGTCAGTATCAACACGGGTACATCCAGGCAATTGGTAGAGTTCCATGAAAAAGACAGTCCAGTAAATGTGATCATCTTTCTCTTAATTACATGTATCACAGGCACTGTCCAAGACAATTCTCACCATGTGCAAATTCATATGGAAATGTTAGTCTCTCAGTTACTGCATATGGGGCTTACCTTTAACATTAACAGGTTCTTGTTCTGATGACAGAATCTCACTGCTTTTTGCCTTACTCAAATCTTGGTTTGAAGTCTATTGGGGAAGGTAAAAATTAGTTAGGAAATTATTTTATTGATCAGCTTTTACTAACTACAAACACACTGCACACTTGTTCCATGAAATTGTCTTTTCACTAGTTTGAAATAAAGACAGCAGGTTCCCAGGTAAACTCTTTGGTCCCACTTAAAAGATCTACTGTTTTAGCCTTTAAAGTAAAATGTTCCAATTACATCCTTGCCAAATGTTAATACCTGTTGAGCAAACCAAAATTTCAATAGATTGTCAATCTTATTCAATATGTAAAGAACTGACAATTCTCCAAATCCAGATCACACACATTAAAATGTTTTTAAGAAACCTAACAGTGAAATGACAATCATACCCAAACACATTTCACCATTTTTCCAGAAATAATTATCACAAAAGGGAGGAAAGACAAACAAATGACATGTTAGAATACAAGAGTGAATTACTCCCAATTAGAACTTTATCTCAGCAAACACAGAGAAGGAACTAAAGGCTTAAACTCATGCTTTTCTGAAAGTTTAACTTCTCACTTGCAGCTTAACATTTTTTCCTCTCTCATAGCAGATGTAAACATTAATTCTGTCTCTGCCCATCCATCCACTATGGCATCAACTGTAATAAATTTGGATGAGGAATGCCACATTTTGCATGTAGCACCTACTGGTATCATACAATTTCTTTTATTATTCTTTTACTTTCAATAGTACAAAAACAGTATAACAAGAAAAGATGAGGTACATATAAATATGTAGTGAAAAGCTGTGCACTGGCATAGGTTTGTTTTGCTTTTATGATTTTGACAGTACCTGTTCATTTTCAGTTGTTTCACTGCTAGCTTGTAGTGATGTTTGCACATCAACAGGTCCTTCCTCAAATTCTATTTCTTCATCTTCATTCTCATCTTCTCCACTGCCATAGTTAGTCAGAGCTTGGGTTTCTGCTTTTGATAAACCTAAAGACAAATCAATGTAAAACCACCTTTGAATTGCCAAATCCTTTTGGGGAATTTCATGCAATGATACTGCTTACTTCAAAACATTCTTTAAGATTAAGATATAGTGATTTAACTTTCAAAGACCTGTATGTTTCACATCAGCTGTATTATGAACAAACACCCCTGTGCTGGTGTGAAATGCCAAAGTTATTAAACAAGTTGGTGCAAAGAATGTAAATGGTAAAGGAATCCAAGCCAGAAGTAATTGGTGTAAGAAAAAAAAAACTGGAAAAAAAAATAAATATATGCAAGCTTTACTTTAAAATAAAAGCGCATTTTAAAAAGCCACATTATTTAAATGAAAAACTGCATAAAATTTGCACAGCTTTCACATCATTCAGGTTAAAGGCTGAGAAACTCTGAGTTAATTTGAGACAAGACACATAACTTAATGAACCTATTTCTAATATATTTTTACAGATCTACTGATAATGAAAAAAATTAGCTCCTCTAATTGGAATATTTAACTTTTGACATAACACTAGGAAATACAGTACTGCAAAAATTTCACTGACAATGGAGTGACTGTAAAATCTTTGAGAGAAGGTGTTACACAGCACTACTTCATGCAAGTCCTGTTGTAAAATTAGCTGGTAAAAACTACAGTAGAAGCACTGAACAATGAGCTATATAAAAGTGCCTTACTTATTGCTACTGGACTGCTTTCACTTTCCTCATCTTCCTCTTGATCAGACGCATCAGATCTAATACTTTCAGGCACTCCATTACCAGCACACACTTCTGAGTCCGGTACTTGTTTAGCAGTTTCAGTCTCATCCTTGTCCTAGGAAAACATGAAATACTGTGCAATTTCATGTTTAACTAAAGACTATGCTATGGTTTCTGCATAAAGGAGTTGTTTCTCAAAAGTTAAGTGTATCTAATAAAAATCTGTTTAAGTAGTCCTTATGGTCTTGAAATTAATGCAGCAGAACAATACTCCTAAAACAGTGTCAGAACTTCCTGTAAGAGATCATGGCCCTGTTCAGACACAGCTCTGAAGGCCTCATAGCTACCGAGTATGTCATTATCTGAAAAGGTTGACATTGATTAGCATGCTAGGTTAAAAAAATCCTTTAAATTAGATTTGCCATTATCAAGAAGACAGACACATCTGCACAACTACCTTCCAGCAACTTCCCTGCTCCTCGTAATGAGGAGCAAAAATATTCCTAACTGCAGCTTTTCTTTAATGCAGTCATTTCTTTAGCAGCATCTCCTCAGCAGTCTCTCTGCTGAATGATTTGCTAAATATGCTGAATGAGAAAATCCTGCTCTTCCTATATCAATCTCATGTACAGCCCTGAGTTTGACTCCAAATCTTGAAAGAACTCCTCTACACTACAGCAATGGTAACAAGTGATGTACAGCTTCCCACTTTTACTTCCAAAGCAGTGTGACAGAAGCTCTAAGCCCTAGAAGCAAGCACTGACTGCACTCCCACACACACCTACTCCTATACCTGTATCCATATCAGAAAGCAATCAACATTCTACTTAGTATATATACCTGTATCATTCCCTTGGCTGGAGAAAGAACATTCCAGCAGACCATTTAAAACTTCATACACAACACATATCCCCACAGGGATATCAGTGGTTTTCAAAAGAAACTTGGAAAGGGACAAATTCTGAGCACTAACATTTCATAGCCAGAGCACAGGCAGGCTTGGACTCTGAAACCTCAAATACCACGTGTCCCAATGCAGAACATCTACCTTCTCCTGAAGATGGAAAATAAATCAACTTATTCCATACCATTAAAAAGGAAAATGTAAACTGCTAAAAATAGTTAAGCTGTCCTTAGAAATGGAAATTATAATTTATTTTGTTACTTTGATAAAATAAATCACTGAAAATAACACTGAAAGAAGATTAATACATTTCTAAAGACTGGAAAACGGGCTGCTTACAGATACTTGATTCCTATGACAGACAACAGTAACACTAAGTGACCTTCGAACTTATCTGAGGAATAAAGACAGTTGAAAGGCACACACATACTTTGTCCTCATCAACATCTTCAACAGAAGAACAAACATCCACCTGGAGACCTTTTTTTGCCTAGAAGAAACACAAAGTGTCTTCAATTCTAAACTGAAATAACTTCAAAATACTGAATCAAACTACAGCTTTCTGAAAGCCAGGCTGAAATGCTAATCTTACTAAGAACTGCTATCTTAAAACAGCAGGAAGCCACAGGGACTTTAGCTCACATATAACCATTAAAACATTTCCTCTGAATTATGAACAAAGTCTATACAATTAGGTATCCGTAACAGACACTCATCTGCAACACAGAACTTGCCCCTACTAAGGAAACACACAAGTACACAAACAATACTGTGATTACACAGCAACTGGTAAAATAAATAAATAAACATATGTAAAGTATCAAATAAGGTAATCAAATTAGTTTAGAAAATACACATATTCAGCAATCTCAGAAAAGCTACAATTTTCAAAAATAAAATAAAACAAACCTCTTTAGCATAAGTCTGCATTACTTCAGTAGTTTCTATTTTTCGTTTACATCTCTGCTTCACAGAAATACTGTTGTTGTCCAAGTCTTGCATGAGTTTAAAAAAGGCTAATTCATTGAATAACACTTCAGAGATCTCCACAAGAAGATCCTCCCCACAATCTTTTAATTTTCTACCAGCAAATTTTGCCAGTGAATCCTGTGAAGAAAAATAATTCTTCAGTTTCCGAAACATGCTTTCAAGCTTTAAAGACTAAGTATTTTTCATATTTCTAATAACTCAAAATTAGTTACATATATATATATATATTAGCTCATATTTTTAAAAAACGTTTTAGTGTCTTAAACAGATTTTCCATGGAATCTCCAGTCACATAACACAGAACTTAATAAGGTCATGATTTAAACTCCATGTTTGTAGGAAAAAAAGAATGAAAAAGTGCACACTACAGATTTTCAGGAATTTACACAAGCTGTCCAAGAAAAGCATCACCAGAGCTCTCCTTGAAGACAGCCACAGGCCAGAGATACACCTCTCACTGTCACCTGGCTGTGACAGAAAAGATGTTCTGTGTGCAGTAAATCATTAGTTTGGGAACTAAGGTAATACCTCATCACTGCATCAAAGCTGAGGGAGAACACCATGTTATTCAAGGTGTAAAATACAACTTCAGAGAAGCTGAAATTTATCTGCTGCTCATTAGCCAACTTGAGTGTTGCAAAACAGCACTGAAAAACTACTAACCTGAAGTATACTGCCAAGCTGCTTATGAAAGAACTTCACAAATTCTTTACTTTCATCATTTTGTTGTGTAAGAGTCAAGACCATACGTCTTACTGATGTCAGTAATTGAGAAGAGCATACTTCATCCATGTGTTCCTACACAAGTATCACAGAATGAGCTTTGTTACCACTTCAAAAGAAAAACTAGCCATCAACCCAATTACAGAAATTAATTTTAAAAAAAACCACCTGTCCACTAAATATCCACTAAAGAAACAGTCCACCAAAAAAAGTCCTAATCAATCTCACAAACACCATACTTCATGAATGACTGATTGGTCTCAACATACAGATTTATCTCAGTTTTCCAGTACATGAGTACTTGCCATCTTACAATGTTTGGCCAAACTAAGAAGCCTCATATATTGTGGCTATGTACACAAGTGCATTAAAGTGCATATTAAGATATCTACTGTTACATGCAGCCTTGAAATTGCAAATAAAAACCAGGTTTTCAGGTACTCTGATGTATCAACAATATACAGTTTTTAAACCTAGTATCAACCAAATACCTTATTAGACAATCCTAAGCTTATACACTCTGCATACATATAAAAAAGAACAGGGAGATGCCTTAACTATTTAACAACTCAATCTTCTCTGCTCTCCAACCTTGCAAAGGAGGAACTGTGACTATTTCTCCTTTAAAGAACATTTCTTCTTTGTAGTCACAGAAGTTAAAAATATCTCAACAACTTTAAATATATTTGTAAAGAGGAGAAAACAATGCTAAATTCAACTACTCAGAAGTATTCTTAAAACATACCCTATTATTGTATATGTAACCGTTTTAATTAGTGATCTCAGTTCTGTCTGCTAAAAGGCACCAAATATTTCAGAAGTACATTCTCAAACTTTCCTATATTTAATTTTGTCAGCTCCAAAACAAGCAACCTCTACTCTTTTTGATGTCAAGTCCACCTGCCCTATGAAATCTAGAAACCTCACTCTTTATTTCTCCTACTAAAAACTACCCAGAATCTTGCTGTGGAAGCGTCTAATTCTTAATCTTCAGCATGGTCTGCAACCGAACACATATTTATTGGCAGCTGTTTCTAAGAGGCAAGCTTTAGGTTTTAAATAACGTTCTTCTGTGCAATTATACAAGTGCTTTTCTCATTCTTCTAATTCCCACCATATTATAAAGACCCCTTACCTTCAGAAAAGGAATGACCTCTTTCATAATTGCTTTAATCTGCCGGTCAAGCTGCTGAGTATCTATACGAGGACATGGAACTGCAGAAACATCATCTGACTGTGGCACAGACTGACATTCACTCATACCTGGACCTTGTTTTAATTTTAAAAAAAAGTAAAAAAGCAGTACATTTAATACATTCAACATTACTATTAAATAAATACCACTTCCAAAAACTTATTTTCTATTTAAAAAAAAAACATTATTTCCTTAAGTATGTAAATACCCTTTCAAACTTTGCTAAGTTTTCATTTTAAATAAAGAGGAAAGCAATTTAGCTTGATAATTATTATAATTATTTTCTAAAACTAAGCAAAATATATGTATATGTGCATACCTTCTAATTTAGCAGTAGAAGCACCCTGAAAATTACTAGAGCAGCCCTCAGAGTCAAGGGTACTTTCAGCTTCAACTTTCATACGCTCATATTCCCTCATCCAAGACAAAGCTTTATCTAAGTGAATGACTGTGTTGCCTAAATTTAGAATAAAAACACTTTTTAATCTAAATAAAAAGTTTTCAATTGATAGACAAATAAACAATAATAAAAATTACTTTAAGGCTCTAAGTTTTGAAATATATATATAACTAGTTATAATATTTTATTACTTTGATATATAATAAGCTATTATAATATATTATTACTTTGATAAACTCAGTGTATCACAACTAGGTAATTTAATTATGTTTTGTCTTACAAAACATGTGATTTACACAATCTAAAAATCAAATAACAGTGTACAAAAGTGCAGACAGTTGCAGGCATTTAGGGAGAGAGAGAGTAACACCTAAAACAGTAAGTCACATCATTCTCACCAAGATCATCAGTGGCAAAGGGCTCAAAATTTGAAGAAGTAGACATAGTACTCCCATTGTCCACATCAGGTTGTTCACAATCTTGACATGCTTCTGTAGGAAAGTTCTTGCCAAAAGTTTCCTAAAACATACCAGACAACTGAATACAAAGAAGGAATACACCATACTCTCACATATGTGTGAACAAGTCCACAGTTCTTTTCAATGACTTGTGGTATGAGGGTTCATCACCAGACTGCCTGACTGGAGAACAACCCACTTTCAGGATATAAACCCTTCAGGTGAATCTACCATACTTGCTTCAAATACTTCAAGTACAAAATATGCAAGGAACTGTACAGAGGTGTAAGTAATTTTTTAAATACAAAAAAGCAAAAATTTTTAGAGATTCATGTGATCAGTATTTGCCCTGAACTTACTCAGAAGAGAATTTTGTCTCTTTCTGAACATATCAGTTTCCAATTTACATCCCTGTCCATGTTTCATTTATCCCTGACACGTCATTCATTTGCAGTACTGAGAATCTTATCACATTTTATCACTTTTGCATTGATTCTCTTGCCACTAGTTGTTTAGAGTAGTCTGTGTAAGTCAATACTAATTTTAATGATCAATCCCTAGTATATTTCAGTAGACAAGCATGTATGTATGCTAACTGAAATACAGGAAAAGCCGTCCGTAGCTTCTGAATTTGAAAACTTACGTCATCTGTAGAGGCAATGCTTTCACTAGGAGTGAGTTCAGAATTTGATGCCACCCATGTTGCAGAATTCAGTGATTTTGCACACTTCCCTTTTTCATTCTTCTCAGATATATGTCTGGTCACTATATCCTGGAAAAGATAAGCTATGCTGTAAAAAAAGATCTAAGGTTTGCTTGATTCATATTGAAAATAAAAAATTCTGTGCATACCTGTAAAGCATATAGAGCCCTTTGCCTCAGATAATCTGTATTTAGCAGCTGAAGCTCATGGAAAAGTTCAATAAGAAAGTGGGGACGAGACTCATTTTGAGAAATAAGAGTTGCTACTTCAGAATAAATTGTGTCTCGCAAAGCTTCAAACATAGAAAGATCACTACCAGTTTCTGTAGAAAAAAATAAAGGAACTTGTTAAGTCCTTGACAGGCATTCATTTCAGAGACAACTGCCTACCAGGTATGCAAGTTACAGGTATACAAATTATGTCTCAACCATCACAGATTCCCTAATAAAGCTGCTTTCATGAAGCTTATTAATTTCCTGAAGGGCAAACATGCTTAAATTATCCCTTATGCAATCTTTAATATATGAAATATAAAATAGAGCAATCATAAAATTAATTTTCTTTACACTTCTGGACAATACCTTTAGAAAGCATTCTTTATAATAGAGAATAATGCACACACCACAATGATGCTTTCAGAATAGGTATTAAACACTGAAAATGGAGTTTTAAGACATTTCAAGAAACATAGCGAAAGGTCTCAAGTTTATATAGTACAAACAGTCCACACTTCTGCAACACAAGCAGCATTAAAGAAAGCTTTAGACTGAACTCAAGAAAGCCACTCTTTCCCAACATAAAAGGTACATTCTCATACATGTCTAGTGTCACTCCCAAGTTCACAAAAAAAAACCTCCTACCCTTAAACCCTATTGTATATGTATGAGAAGAAAATGTATTCCCTAATAAATCTCCCATTCACTTGAAAATTAAGTATTATCCTTGCATCACATCAATCAAACTATTACATACATTATTTGGAAAGTGCTGAATGGAAACATAGTTAAATTTGGAAAACTCAGTTTAACAGATGTGTAATTGTTAGTATTCAAGTTAATGAAGTTATCAGCAAAACAGCAAACATTACTGTGCAACTTGATTATCAGCAATTTTTTTAAGCACAGGCAAGCTTTTTCAACTTTTGAAAAGTTACCACAATTTGCTTCCCTCCTTCATACATAATATGTATGAAGGCATACATACATACAGAAGCATTTAAACATGCTAAAAATGCCTACTGAAATCAGTTTTTTGATGTAGTATCTACCTCTGTATTTTCTATTTGTAAATTGTTACTTATCAAGAATGTGGTAACCATGTTCTCCACAACTGTAATTCAAAGCATGGTGTAATACTACATTTCATTAAGTTACTTCTCTTGTCTCAGTTACAGAGAAGGTGCTGCCATAGCACTAATCTTGAACATCTGCTAAACAGTGAGTTATAGGACCAAAGGTAAGAGAAGAAAAAAAAAAAAAAGTAATAGGATATTGTTGAAGCTAAGCAGTGAATGCATTACCTGGCGCTTCAATGCATGCATTTCTGTTAGACTGCTGCAGAATTCTCCTAGCATGCGCTGTAGGAAAGTGGGGATAGACAGTGATAAACACAAAAATGCGCACCAGAAATAAAGACAGGGTCTATACAAAACAGCAGGAGGAAGACTGCTTAGTTATCCAAACCACATCAGAGCTGCTTATTGTGAGAATGAGAACTTGACCAGTGAAATTTATTATGTACACTAATAAACAGCTCTTAGTGTGGACACAGCTACACTGGCAAAGCTTTATATTGTGCTACAATGACTAAAATTTCCGCATCTCTCAAACAAAACAGAAATACTGGCAGAACCAAAAAAGGCACAGGAGAGAGAATTTTTATGACCTAGATACAAGAAAAGCAGTGCAGATGGCAAAAATGAAGGTGTTTATGTGATGTTATAAGACTGAATTTGAATGATATTTGATGGAGCTCATTTAAGCACGAATAGGAAGGAGACATGTATGCAGTACAGGATGTAGTTTAAATGCTAAGGAAAGTTTCATCAGTTTTGCAGTTACTTTGTATAAAATCACCAGAAAATAGGTGAGATTGGTTACACTTTTGCTTCTTGTACTGTAACAGGTTTCTAAATTACTTTAATCAAGTACTTAATATACAGAAAACACCCCAAAGCAATTAATATCCCACTTTTTAGACATTTACATTTACAACATCCTTAGAAATTAAAATGCAAAATCCACATACTAAATATACAGTCCTGTCTTCCTGTCAAAATGCACTGCGTTCAAGTAACACACTAGCAACTAAGGTCCCTTACTCACACAAGTTGACAAAATAATTAGACATTTAGAGGAGAGTACCTGAAGACATTTCTGTAGATCTACTGTATTTAATTATTTTTTCCAGTTGTTCCTGATTCCTTTTGCTGAACACCTTTGCATGAACCACGTCATCAGAGTGTCTGCTTTTATTGTTCTTGCAGGGTCCACACACACTAGAAGCACTTGCACTTTCATAACCTAATGGGAGAAAATGCAAAGGAAGAAATAAAGAAACAGTGTACAAAATGTTTTACTGCTTTAAAAAATTTGTTCAAAGGCACTCTTAAAGATGCAAAATATTAATGATGCTTCCTAGACTACAATCTTCCTCTGTACATTGAAGCCATCCAGCAGTACTAAATCCTCAGCAACCTCAACAGTACTACTATACTACTATTGTCCCTCTTTCCTCAGAATTTCAATGAAGCATATTTTTCAGCAAATAATCCAGTCTGAACATGAAGACAATGAAGATTCTCCTTGTTATTTCAAATCTGCACATATCTGCATCCATGATCCTTTTAAATCATGGTATCTCAATTGGTTATTTATTTCTATTTACTGAAATCATAAAAAACCATATGCAGTTGTATTATATAAAATGAAGTCATTTCAATAACTTATTTTCATTATTATAGCTACCATTTATGGAAAATAAATTCTCCGGAATATAATGATTACAATCCAAGCCAAGTTTGTCACAGTATCCAAGATTACTTTACAACCTACCAGAATTTTTAATTCTGCCTTTTAGCTGAGAAGAACTCTTCCTCTTATTCTTTGATTTGGGTGTTTTATCTTTTGATGCCAGGCTTGCTTGCGCTGATGCTTTTCTAGATCTAAATGTCTTTGTCACAGTAGTTGGGTCTATTGGATCAGGCATGCTACTGAAACTCTCCAAAGACTCTTCATCAAAATCTCTTCTCCGGTTCCTATCACACTGATTTTTATGACCAGAAGCAATGTTTTGTACTGAAACTGCAAAACCTGCTTTCAGCTGAGACTGATCATCTTTTTTCATTTCTTGGCTATCATCAAGCCATGTTGATCTTTTTTCCATTTCCTCTTCAGGTTGTCTATGAGTCCTTCTGTCAGGAAAAAAAAGACCCACAGACCAACCTCAGTACACCATAACCTAGTCTCTCAGATAAACATCACATATTACCAGGCAAACAGTTTATCTGTAAAGCAAATTATCTGCCCTTGTTATTTAGACACCAAATGAATACTGAAAAATAAATAATTCCAGAGAACCCTTCCAAATGGAAAACAGAAGAACTTCCCATCTATTGCTGGTTTCAACATGAACATATTTATGCAGCTACTGCTGTGCGCAAATAGTACCATAGATAAAACATTTCTTAAAGCAATATTCAGTACAATCTACAGTAGCGGAAAAAAAATAAGCATTCACTGAATTTACATCCTTTAGTAATTCAAACAACTCAGTTTCAAAACAATCCCACATGAACAAAATCTTCCTCCACTCACAGGAAGTGTTACAAAACCACTCCAAGGCTGCATTTGATTTTAAAATGTTCATTAAATGATACATTAATATATAGAGAAGCAGAACACAGCTGTAAAAAATTTAAAAAATTAAACCAGAAATTGCGAAAGTAAAGCTCATATCGTAATTCTATGACAACAAATTCCCTTAATGAATGATGAATTCCCACAAGCCCCAGAAAAGGGAAGAGAAACTATTAAAGGAGACCTGCACTTTGACATTAAATACCTTTGTTTTTCTGCTCCATTAGAGGAACTGCTTTCAAAAGGTTTGGGGAATGCCACATACTCAGTTTTCCCAGAAGTATTATGATCTAGAGGATGTTGTTGCTCCTGCTGCTCACTGCTGCGTGGAGAAACGTTCTGTGCAAAATCTCCAAAACCAGATGGGAACACTGGGTTATAGTTAATGCCTACAAAGTAAACAAGAGAGTCAGAAGATTTTACCTCATTTATTTGTGTAGTAAAATTCAAATTTGAGGCAGCATGAAATTATGAAGCAAAAATACAGTGGGGAAGTAAGCAAGAACTATTTTCATCCTGAAAGCACTGTAAACAAACAGAATTTATCTTTAGTGCAGGTTTCAAACACTACTGGAACAAAAATTGGTTAACATGCTCCATTTACAGGCATTTATAACAAACATGAGTGTTTGAAGTTCTAAGAGAAACAGAAATAATTACCAAGTGCTACCTTCCAATTACAGGATTCACTTAGAACATGATTTCAACTATAATATGATTGTTGAAGGTATGTAAAAGCATCAAACATTGCTTTTCATACGTTGGATGATGTGAGCATTTTCAAGTATAACTAACTTCATACTGACAGAGTCTTGCTCTTCATACTGAAGTAAAAATATACAATTACCAGCAGTAAATACTAAACTTCTGCTTAAGACCATTTCAATACAAACGAAAAGTAACAAAGTTTCATTAAATTCACATTAAAATTTCAATTAAATGAGAAAATGTCAATTTTTTAAATTCATGTTACTTCTCACACCTATAGTAGTACTCACCTGGAGTAAAGGAAGAAAAATTATTAAATCCTGGAACACTAAAGAGGTTCATAGGTTGTGGAGGGAAGTTGAATGGACAGAAAACAGGAGAGGGAGGAGGTGGTGCACTACTGCCTCTCTCCTTTCTTGATGATTTCTCTTGACACTGTTTTTCTTGTTGCTGCATAAGATCACTTAACATTTGCTTCAGCCTTGAAAATAAGAAAAAATAACAACGTGGGGAAAAAAAAGAAAATCACAGGAAAACTGTAAATTTAATTTGAATTTGAAAACCGTCAATTAATTTGAGCTTCATATTATTTTACCTACACCATGTAACATATATAAAGAAGAGCTCTATTTAACTAATAAAAAAACCCTCAAGACAAAAATTACTTGTATTTAATCATGAGTTGGTTTAAAATTAACTGCTCTGTACTAGTGGTCATATGTACACAGATTAAACATCCTTGCAAGAACAAAAAAAAATTGACTAGTTACTAAAGAAATAAGCAAGCTGAAAACTTCAATAGAAACAATCAAATATACAATTTACAGAACTGAGGTTAAAATTAATTCAAAAAATTGTGTAAGAGGACAGCACCTATACACCACTTAGCAAAAACAAAACAGAGATGAAGAGCTTCAACTTTCATGCAATGAATTAAAATGACTATTACATCTTTTTTGAAAAAAGATCATTGTTCAGGCAAATGTAGTACATCCAAATAGAAGGCAAGAAGCATAAATTCTAACTGAAAACACTAAGAAAGGACAAAAAGCTTTTTTGCTGTATATTACCATTAGAATTCAGAATCTTGCCAGGTAGTCTAGTGAAGACTACAGACACAAGCATATTAAAAAATAACTATTGCAACTGATTTTTGCTAGTAAATATTACTGAGAAAGTACTCTTAAACGTGTTAAAGAGGCAGTGGGGAAAAAGAAAAGACAACCAGAAATGCTGCATACAATTTCAAAAGCTCATCATCATCTCAGAAGTTCAAGAGTCACATGTTTAACCATTATCTGTAATATTTTATTAACATAACCATATTCCTGTTACTGAAGCATTTCAAATTCCATAGTTAAACACTAATAGAGTCAACAAACCTTTGGACATTATTCTGCTGCCAAGTCAGTTGAGTGTAACACTGATTTAATTGATGCATAATAAGATGTATCTGCGAAGATGCAACATTATTGGGCATCATACTGTAGGGGCCTGTAAGCAAAGTCTGCAGAAGGCAAGAGAGTGTCTGTGGAAAGAAAATATGAACAGTGACAAATTACAAAAACCAGAAGCAATTGCTAGAAAAAGTTAGAAAGAGAATAAAAGGCAAATAAGAACAGCAAAATAACTGTTCTTCTTATCTACCTGCTGATCCTGCATCAAAGTTTGACAAATGCTGACACTAAATTCATGCTGTTTCTTCAGCTGATTGATCTGCTCTTGCCACTGTTCCTTTTCTTCCACATAGGAAAGCTCAGACATCCACCGAAAATTTTCCTGACGCCGCATACTTATGTTTTGCTGTTGCCTAGCCTTAGATGCTTGACGAAAATTTCCATCTGCTGAAAGTGGATGGCAATTTTTCCACCTGGGTTAGGAAAATTTGAAAAATGAGGATAAAATCAGACAACTCAAACAAGTAATGATACTTCCATTATTCAAATTATATTTAAGTTGTACATCAAAAACTCACACGGCAAAGGCCAGTTAATCATACATGCCATTTTGTGAATCCAACACGATCCTAAACAAATGGAAAATAGGAGTCCCCCACCTGACTATGACTGTCAAAAAAGAAGGGTTAAGGCTGTGTCTGGGTCTTGATTTTAGTATTTTCCATTACTACTATTTTCCATTACTAGATAACATGTACTCGATGAAAATAGAAGCCACCAGCGTAATACATTGACAAGTCCAGCCCCTGATTAACCCACTGTCTACTAAAATCATTTTGGTATCCAAACCAGAAGAAATAACTGCAGAGATATACATTATTTTTAACATGGCATTTTCATTTAATCACACAAAGGTTATGAAATAAGTCAATCAGGTAAACCAAAGTTAAAATTATTCACAATAATTAAGAAATAGTTTTCTCAGCTACAGAAGCCAGAAATTTAGAAGGAAAAATTTCAGAGTTAGTTTAATTCTCTGAACTACTGTTTTTTAAGAGACTGATCTCTATCACAGCAAAAATTTCACACAGATTGGTTATCTTTCAAGATGATTAAAAATAAATGGGAACATCAGGAGCCACTGCCACATAACTGGAGAGCTCAATGGCAGACTTTTAGTAAGAATGAAAACAAAAGAAAACACCAAATCAGTTATATGCATTGCAGCTACAAAGACTCAGATAAGAAACTGCCACTACACACAGCTCCCTAACAAGCAGAAAGAAATCGTCATTTGCTGTGAGAATGCCTTGCAGCTAATGCAATGCTTCTTCCACCATCTTCCAAATACACTCAGACAAGCATTAGATTAACAAATAACGCTACTAACCTATCTTTGTTTCCTTTAACAAAATAGGCATTTTCTGGTATGTTGTTATTGGGATAAACAGAGAAACTGTCATTCAAACTGGATGCATCTTCTTCCTCTTCTTCTGCCTGACCAACTCCATCAGAGAGATAACCGTCTTCATCTCCATTGTCTTCCTCTAGGGCACACTGGGTAGAACCTCCCCAGGTAGCCATTGTCCTAGTGAACATTGCAGGGTTAGGGAGAAAAAGGGTGTTTGGAAAAAGAGTATTTTTTTTCAAATTTATGATGAATTATTTAAACAATCTGTTGACAATTACAAGTCTATCTGCAATGAATCAAGCTGCACTAAAAAGAATTAAACCGTTCTAAACATGAGCCAGCAGTGTGTCCAAATGGCCAAGAAGGGCAATCAGGAACAGTGTGGCCAGAAAGACCAGGGAAGTGATTCTTCCCCTGTACTTGGCACATGGTAGGCCGCACCTTGAGTGCTGGGTCCAGTGCTGGGCCCCTCAAATTAGGAAGGACATTGAGATGCTGGAGCATGTCCAAAAGAGGGCAACAAGGCTGGTGAAGGGTCTAGAACACAAGTCCTATGAGGAGTGGCTGAGGGAGCTGGGGTTGTTTAGCCTGGAGGGGTTTTAGGGGAAACTGAATTACTCCCTACAGCTGCCTGGGTGTAGCCAGGTGGAGGTGGAGGTCAGCCTCATCTCCCAGGCAACCAGTGACAAGACATGAGGACAATCTTAAGCTGCGTCAGGGAAGGTTTAGGCTGGGCATTAGGAAGAAGTTCTTCACAGAGTGACTGAGCATTGGAATGGGCTGTCCAGGGAGACAGGTGGAGTCACCATCCCTGGAGGCATTTAAGAAAAGACTGGATGGGGCACCCAGTGCCATGGTCTCATTGGCAAAGTGGTGTCAGATCATAAGTTAGACTCAATCTTCAAGGTCTTTTCCAACCCAGTTGATTATGTGATTCTCACCAATGCAAACTTGCATTCTGCTTCTATATAGGGACAGATAAATGAAATTACTGTCTGTTTTGGAAATGTATTACTTTACTACGCTATAAAATGGGTATCGATGAAAAAAAAATTACTCTGATCACTTGGCATTTTCCATACATTTTCTTCTCTTTAGATGATTCTTTTCCCCACTGGTAGAACAGGAGAGACTAAATATGCTGGGAAAATCCATAAAACTGGCAGGCTGCTAAATAACAGTCTTTTTTCAAGTCAAGAAATTAATTTCCTACTCTGTTAAATCATCACATTCAGTGTTCAGATGAAGTCAGGAAACTGCCCCCAACACCGACATCCCACTGAACAACAGAAGCACCCATTGATTAATATAGAACAACTTGTGCTCTTACTTTTCAGTCCTGCTCTGCTGTGGAGTACAGTGGGCTTCTGACCCTTCACTTTTAACAGATGCAGCAACAGTAGATATTGTTTCTGCAAGCTCTCTCCTTCTCTGATCTTCAGCCATTAAAGCTTCTAGTTGCTTTCTTCTCTGCCGCAATTCTTCTCTTAAAATCTCATGTCTTCTCATCTCAGACCATAACTGCTTGCAGTAAAATGGAAGAATTAGAATATAATACCAGCATAATTTCCAGAAAGAGTAAGTAATATCCAGATCATTATTAAAGACAATTTCAGGGGAAAAGGTGAAGGAAAACACAAAGATAAGCCAGGCTTCAACACATATTTTCATCATTTTCTCCAGAGATGACCTGACTACAGTATACATCATCAAATGTTCACAGTAAAAGTTGAAAATTAATTCAACTTTCATATTAATATTTGGTAACAAGTGATATATATATATATATATAAAATATGATTTATTTGTGAGAAAATTTCTAGTCAGTTCAAGTCAGTATTTCATTTTTTCCAAATATGAAATAAAGAAGTTATACATGCTTTGTTAAAATACCTACTACTCCAATCCAGGCCAGCTACTTAAAATGTGTTCAAGCCACTTGAAACTTCTTTCTAAACCCTTTTTAAGCCACTGTATATCAAGTATGAAATACCTCATTGCCTACTGGCACAGATTCATCACACTCAAATAAAGGCTTGCCAGCTGTGTTACACTCATTCATGGATGGAGCTGATGTTGCTTGAGAAGTCTGTCTATTTGTTGGGCAGTTACCCAGACCAGCTGACAACTGAAAGAGAAGCAAAATGGCAAAACAGAGTATAATACCTTTCTAAAACTTACCAGCAGTTAAATCCCAACACCGTTAAGGCTTTGTGAGCCAAGAAATTCAGTATCTTGGGAACAGGACTCTTGAATCAAGACTAAATATTTACTTCAAAACTTACCTAGAAATCAACAAAACTTAATTTATGTATTATTAGTTAATGTTCTAGATACACACTATTGATAATTTACTGCTCACTTCATAGAAAGAGCATGCAAAACAGTAAGGTTCTTAGAGAGTTAAAATGCAATGAAGTGTTGATCATGCTTACAAGACACAGCATTGTTCCAAAATACCAATTAATGACTACTAAGAGAAGTAAACAAACCGTGACTGACAAATTTCTGGCTAAAAATAAGACAGAAGGTTCTGTATCTTTGAAGACTCTATCAAGTCTTTTTTAGACAAACTGCAGTGAAATTAAGATACACTAACCACTGAACAAGAACCACTGAAAAGTAAATAACATAAGCAGACTATGTTTAAAGCAGACTCTAAGTTTAAAAGTCCACCTGCTTACACTATACAAGTACTACCAATTTTAAGTTTTATCCAATTTTCATAAGGAAAAAATGGTGAGCAGGATACTTTATGGTTTTTTGCTCAACACCTTAAGACAGCAAAGAAATACTTTCTACCTACTTGAAGGTCAGGACAAGCTTTCTGTAACACTTGAATTTTTTCCTGAATTTCAATCAGTTTTCTTCTTTCTTCTTGTAACTGCTTAAGCTCCCGTTGCTGCTGCTGAAGTTTAGCTTCATAGAACTTCTCCCTGTGTGAGTTATCCACATGTTACTTGGCAAGAAGTTGCCTGAAGCACAGCTCTACCATCCTCTGACAAAAGCTTACCTTGCTTTTTCATTTAGTCGTACATCTTTCTTTAACTTGTTGGAACTTGCTCGGACATTGTTTGGTTGTTGTTTTGTCTCTTCCATCTCACACAATAAGTCACCAATATTAGACGCATTCGCAATTGTTCCTTGAGGTTCTGGATCATCATCCTAAAAGGATGTCAGAAAGGCCATTAGATTTGTATCAAGTTGATACAAAAAAAAAAAAAGTAACAAATCTAGTTTGTTAAGGTTGTCTAGTTTGATTTTTTTCAAAACTAATCACTCTGAATAGCTTTACCTTTAGTCCAAATCAAGATGGCATCATGACTTTAAAATAAATTGAGTTAGTAAGAGAATTTGAAGTTATTTAGCTCAACCTCAACTACTGAAACTTCCACTATAAATGTAAATAACGTGTCTCATTGTGGAAGCATAAACTACTTGCCTGTAACTCAGTGGACAGAAACATACAAGCATATGAAGGAAGTGGAGGTGCAAGGAGGAACAGAAGAAGACTGAGGTGAACAAGACTGCTTATTTACTGCAGTCAGTGAAGATAAGTATTAAGAACTTAGTAACAAAACTACTCTTGAAAACTAAATCTAAAATATTTTGGAGGAAGTCCTCCTGGTTTTCTATTTAGTTTTTCTTTTTTTTTTACATCATTTCTGTATTTTCAGTTCTCAAATTGAAAATATGAAAGCTATAGCCACTGCTGCTTTTATTTTCCAATGTGTCTTAATAAAGACTCTGCTGAACAGGAGAGATCACTGGTGACCAAGAATGACACACCTCACAGACCTACTGTATCTTTGCTGAGTACATACACATAACAAGCCTTGGAAATATGATGATTAAAGACATGCCATTAGTTATGTTATTTATTAAGGAAGCTGCTGAATCATCTCTAATTCCAATTTATAGCACTGCACAATTAGCATCTCTATAGTGATGATAAAAAACAACACTGATTAAAATGCTGAGAAGTTCCTGATAGGAGTATTATCTTGAAATAACAATATTGTGTTTGTACTGTTGCTATTTTCAAACACAGTTTCCAACTGAGCTTGATTTTTAAGTTCTCACATAAAGCCTTTTCATTTCTGGTACACCTATGTGTGTTCAGTATGCAGACATTACAGTACATGGTGCTCAAATGTGAGCTTTTGAAGGGACATTAGATCCATGAAGTTGTACTGCTAACATCACTAAATTAACGTGAGATATTGCAAATAAAAACACTTCCAACTTATAGCTGACCCTCAAAGATTTTAATGAAAAGTTTGAAATTGATTGAACATCGTAAAGCCTAGGGTTCAAAAAACATAAACATGTTGAATGTTCAGTATAATCTTAAAAACATCTAAATTTAAAAAATATCTCGTATTTTAAAAATTAATACTGATCAACTTCTTGATTTGCATTTTTTAATCCAGTGCTAAGGTAAAATATTAAGACCACCATTCTCTTAGGCTAGCATCCTCCAAGAAAATCCCTGAATTGAACTTCCGAAGTAGCACCCTTGAATTCAGAAAAATCAAACAATAACTCTTCTTCCCTAGCCTAAAAATAAGCATTTTAAATGTTGCATTAAGCAGCTTTTCCACTATCAGAAGTTACACTTTACATGAAATAATGAACACTAGATTGATATTTACAGCATACCTGCACCATAGCAGCAAGGTTTTGTAACTGTCTAAGTTTCTGTTTTGCAGCTATAAGCCTATTGATCTTCTGCTCAAACTCAGCATCTCCAGCAACATCACCCAGGCTGCTTCTGTGACTAGAAATGGAATCTTCACTAACTCGATTTTCTTCCACTTCATCATCTTCACCTTGGGGTAGGTCGAGGTGTTTGTCTTTCTCCCTATTATGACAGTCTGGAAACAGGGAGAGGAGGAAACAAAACAATACCAAAGACACATTATTGAACTTCTGAAGTCCACTGTAATTAATGGACATTTGAAAAATATAAGCTTGATGATCAGACTCTCAAATATTCTGCTCATCATACAAAGATCTCTCAAACTCCATGTAGCTTATTTGAACTAAGACGTAAAATTATTGGAAGATTTTAGAACATACCTAAGGCAGAAGACATTTTTAGAGTCCTTATATTAGCAGCAGATCGGTTGTTTATTTCACAGTCTGTATTAAGATGTCTTCCATCTCTGTTATTAGCTCCACACTGTACATTTGAGTTGCTATTTATTTCACTCCAACTACTGATTCCTTGAGGGTTTCTAGGTAAAATAATTTACTCATGTTAACTTTTTAAAAACTGGTATGCATACAATTTTACTTCAGCCTTTTTCTACCTAGCGTTTTTAGGAATGGATGTTGTTACCCCTCCACCTAAAAAAAATCTCAACAAAACCCCCAAACCAACTCCACCCCATATAAAATCAGTCCAGACATTGGGAGTTTTTCCATATCCATCTTTCCAACAGATTACCTTTTTTAAAATCAAAAAAAAATCAAAAAAAATAAAATCAAAGCAGCTTTAAATTATCCTCTGCAACAATACATTAGGCCTTACAGGCATATGTCTGTTATAAAAGCTTTATACGTTGCATAGCTAAGTGACTGTTCTACCGAGTTTCTACGGAGTGAAGATTTTTAATGCACACAGGTGCCAGACTATAGCTGTAAATGCCTCTGTAAACTGAAGGGATTTTTACTCCAATTCTCTAGTATGAGACTGTAATCTTCTAGTGAAATTCCACACATGTAATCCACTACTTAAACCCAAAGCAATCACGGGTTTTTGAAGTCTCATAGTGATTCTGTAAATGTTCATGCTAATCTAAATAAATAATACACCAAGGATTAGACAATTATTAAACATCCATGTAACAGTTACCTCAAATTAAAAAAACTGTCATTTTGTTAGTGTAATAAGCACTTGAGTAGTAAGTGTAATAAGAATTAAGTTACTTCTGGTTGACTCAAATAATGTATTGCAGATTTCTTGAAGCAACAACTCAGCTACAAAGACTTTGGATAACAAAAAATACAATAACCTAATATTTGTAACAGGCTGTGGATCCTCATGTTCAGAATCACTTTCTGATTCTTCTGTTTCTTCCTCCTCCTTAGTGTTTTCATTCACAGCATCTGTCATCATATCAGATGTCTGCTCATAGTAGTGAACTAACTCACGTAACTCATTCAGCCTCTTACGAACCTCATTTAGCTTCCTGAGGAGGAAAAAAAGAGTATTTCATCTGTTTTGCTGTATTAAGCCAATCTATGTAGTTAAAAACAATATATATACTTTGAAGTTCTTAAGAGCTTAGTGCCAGTTTCCAAGCTATAAGAACTTTCAACTTCAACCTCTGAATTCAGTTAACAGTATTAGATTGTTTACTACGTAGTCTGTAATACTATATTAGGTAGATCAAAAAATGGAAGTAGTTACTTAAAACAAAACTTATTAAAAAAGTAACGGTCCAAATCACTAAAGCAAATGGTGAAAAAAAAAATTAAAGAACGTTTACTGAAGTTTTTCTGTTGGATTTAGATTTTCATCCTCTTCACTCTCATTTTGAGAAACCAGGGAATCAGGAGGATAGGGAGCAGGTGCCAGACTATTTGATTCACCGTTGACAACAGTTACTATGCCTACAGGACCAGATGCAGCTGAAGTTGTACTTCTTTGATCAACACTCCTTTGAGGAGAACCTGAAGCAGGAAAAACTACAGAAAAGAAATACAGCTTATGTGAGCAATTCATAATAAGGAATCTGCTTAACTGAATTTTATTAAAATAATGACAGAAAATATTACCAATAGACAAAACAGCAGTTAGTAACTTCTTCCCTTAGCGAAACAAAAGCTTTTTTCTTAAGTTTCATTGGATGCAATGTCAATAGGCAGTGTGCAATAAGGTAGCTTTTGTAAACAAGATTTCAGTTATTCCCTTTTAGCTTTATCAAATGTTAGAAGCAGAAGTTTTCATGATGTGAATCTGCCCATAGAGATTTTTTATGGTTTACTTAAGGCTGCACTGCCTTTTTCTAAAAACTTACCATTTTATAATTTCGCTTAAAATAAAAACCCTAGCAAATTTTTCAGTTCTGCTAAACTCTGTTGTCCATTTGCTGTAAAAAAATCTGGATGTTTGCTTCTTCCAACTATGTGAAATCATATCTAAGTATGTTAATATTATGTGCATTAAATACATATGGAAAAATTGAGGTATAGTAACGTAACTATTAAATCAGCATGTCCTTCAAGTGCATGCTTCAAGGCCTCATTTCTCAATGCTAACCAGAATATGCTGTGTTCACCCCTCAGAAGTTTCCAGCTACAGGACAAACTTCAGTACAAATGCATTGCTAGAACCAACAGAGAAAGAGCTGCAAGTGGATAGGTCTGCATCAATAAGCAGAGCACAAAGCCATTAAGAGGAAAGGCCAAAGCTCTAATCCAGTCAGACAGGTAAGGCCTTCTAGAATGGCCTGTGACTGAAATCCCTGCCAGCCTGAAGGACTTTTGACAGAGAAGGAGCAAAGCCATACTGCCATAAAGCACTAACACATCAAGTGCCAAGTACACAAATGCAGAAGTACTGTGATAAAAACACACAAAGCTCAACTTCATATGGCACTTTTTTTCACAAGCTAGATGTGTCAAAGACAAGCCGTGAAGAAAAAGACCCATCACATCCTCACATTAGTCAACTTCAGTGTTATAAACCAAAGTGCTAACAGACACTCATCATCATCACTTGTAGAGTTCTTCATTACGGCAGAAACTTATACAGCATTAAAAACCATTTACATTAACATTGCCCCAGCACAGCTTTGATTACCAACATTTCACTGACCAATTGCAATCTGAAAGTTAATGTTACAAACATTCACATTAAAAACATTGTATTCATGAAAAAAAGAAATATAATTCTGCTTATATAAACTTACAGGAAGAGTTATTTAGATGCTGGTCACGAAGTGTATGAAGTTCTCCTAATAGTTTGTCCATTTTTTGCTTTTTACCCTGCAACATTCGCATCTTGTTAAAAAGATGTGCCTTCTCATCTGACTGGTGTTCAGACATTGAAGAATTTCTACTTTGTGAAATCTCTCTGGTAAGTGAAAGGCTTTCTGCTTGCCTTCTATTGTCGGGCACAGACTGTGTCTAAAAAGAGTAATTCTATTTTATTCAGAGCACTACCAAAAAAAGTAAATAAATTTTAAGAAACAAAAAGCTTTCTTATGGGCCTTCTGTACACAACACCAGAATCAACACCAAAACAAAGAACATTATAAAGAGAAATATACTGAAAACATTCTAATGACATCCCAATTAAATACTGAGTAAAGAATTAAATTGCAATAAAGAAGATACTTCTCTAGACTTTCATGGAAACCCATGAGACACAAAGCATAGATCAATCAGCCAATAACCCTCCAAGAATTTTCAAGTTTGCTGAGTTTTCAAGTTTGGGGGGAACTGTAATAACATCACTAGCAAATACACACAGAGCAGGACAAACATTGAACTGCATTGTTAAATAGAATAAAAACTGATAATGGCAAAATCTATACAGTACAATCTCAAAACTGACCTGAGAATCATGAAGTTGGTTGTGAAAGCGTTGAATTAAGTCATTCAATTCTTCATTCAGTTCTGATGTAAGACTTACTCCTGAAACGCTACCTGTAGTTTCTGTTACAACTGCACATATGGAAAAAGGGGAAAATATAAATATTTTTCCACAGTGATGAAATAAAGGCTATTTAAATAAAAATGTGTGGTTTAACAACAACATCAATATACTGACCATCTAAAAATACAGCACATATTTTTAATTTTGTGTCCTTTCCACCAGCTTTACTTTTGAAAGATTACTTCTGCTAATATAAAATACTAACAAGACAACTCAGAGCTGCTTTGTAAAAGACCACACAAAAGGAATTTAGGCTTGTTCTGTGTTTTGCTAAAAAAGGTCTGAGCAAAACAAAAGCAACTAATTTGTCTAACACTGATAGGAACTTATTAGAAATAAAACTGCAATTATTTGCTATCACTAAACTAACAATAGTGCAGGTAATTTGACTTTCTCAAAATAATAAATTAACAGGACACCAAGCTTTCATATTGGTATAAGTTGCAATATTTACATCTGCAAATGGAGTCTTGGAGATTTGTTCGTCTAAATGCTTTATGAGAGAAGCAAATTTGAAAGAAAGCTTTTTTCCCCTGCCTCAAAGTTCATATTCAAACAGTACTAAATATGCAAGTGACAGTTGAAAGACCTAAATAATTTTTCTTATTTCCCCCCAAATACAAACCAACAGTTCATAAGAAAAATCAAGCACAATTATTATTTATTTTCCCCAGAGATTATGACTTCATTACACACATAGTGAAGTTTCACTGTTTTCAAATGTTGAGAACATTTATTGTGCCGCAAGTTGAATTTGAATCTTAACATTGGGTAGACCGATTCTTAGGAGAAAAACCCACTCTTTTAGGATTTTACAGGTAAACCACACTAATTAGCTCTGGGTTTTTAAATGACACATCATCTTATAATATTATATTGTCAACTCTTCAAAAACAGAGGTTTTGCAGTAAAAAAAAAGCCTTTTAAATGTGTATTTCACAATTCCAGCTTTAATCATTCAGTCAGCATGTTAACATGATACAAGAGACACCATCATTCCACATACCAGAATCATCCAGGACAGCAATGGCTTGCTCTGCTTTATGCTGCAAAGCAAGAAGAGCTGCTTGTCTTCCTTGAAGAGCCTTTAATTGCTCCTGCTGTTGTAGCATCCTTTTCAATAAATCATGTTGTTTCTTCAAATTCTCCAACTCCTCTTTAGCTTCCTGTTGAGGATCTCTGGCCTGCAAGAGATATTACAACAGTAATTGCAACATTACCACAACTTCAACTATTTATCTGTTTGAGAACTAGTGAAAGAAGTGACAAAGCAAGCACAACTTGCATATAAATGAACAGCCTGGTTAATGGAAAAAAAAGTAAAAAATTAAACAGCTTCACCTTTCTGATAGTCCTTTATCTTAAAAAATAATAAAAAAAAAATCAGACATCCAATAGGAAGAAGCCTGTACCACCAAGATGTGCTTATAGCTCCTGAGGGTTTAAGTTTTCTTTACAAAGCAAGTCAGCTGCCCTAATGTGACCCAAAGACTAACCCAAAACTCCCTCTGTCTTTTAAATCATAATGGAGGATATTAACCTTTAAGACTGCCAAAGGTAAGCAAGATAAGCATTGTATCATAGGGCTATATAAAACAAGATCTCAATTGATTTACTGGGCTAAAATCTCTAAAATTTTCAGCAGAATGTTTTAGGCAGTTTTAGGCAGTAACTCTTTTCAAAGCTATAACGTGTTTAGTTCTGTGTGCTGTATTTATGGCATCGATACTAGAATGTGCCAGATTTGGTGAAACGAATTCCATAACAAAAATGTGCACAGAATCCTCTCTGCATTGTTTTCAAACTATATTCTGAAACAGCTCTGAAAGACTGAAAGCATGCTGAGCAGTTAAAACATATTAAAACTCAGCTACTTTCCTCATCCTATGCTAATTAGGAGCTTGAGATTTGCATCAAAACTTTTACTCAAATTAAGTGTTTTAATAAGACATCCACAGCTAAGATCCTGATCCTATTTGCAGTTGCATTATTGCACTTTTCAGACAAAATCATGAAAAATAACAAGCATTTACAAAGAACATTACTAACTTGAAAGCATAATCTATCCACATAGTATTAAGCATCTAAAGTAGTAAATTCAGTCCAAGTACTCTGCAACTAATGTCAGAATAGAAGCAGGCATCTCAACTAGTTCTGGGTACTAAGGAATCGTCAACTTTCCAGCAGAGGAAGCTGAAAACATCCAGAATTCTAAACTCCTCAAAGTGTCACTAAAAGATGCGCTGCAGCTCACACTGATGGTTGTTGTTGAACCCCCACCTTTCATATTAACAGGAGAATAGAGTCAAAATAGATTTCACACTGAAATCAGCACAGGAAGGAACAAGGGGAAGAAAGGGAACAAGGGTATGTGCCTCAGTCTCATTCACCTGTTAAATAATCCAGGCTTTATCTAAAGTACCAGAGTTGCTTGAATTCATGAAAATTGTGTTAACAATTTTTTTCAAACTTAGTTCTACATTTAGACTAGTAAGCTTGACAAAACATACAAATCTTTTATTTTATGGGAAAAAATTATTGAATTTAAGACTTTTTGAAAATCTAATCACAGGAAGGACAACGATATAGAAAAGTTCAAAATGGGTAAAAAAAGACATTTTAGACACTGCACCCCTTGAAATCCTTTCCCCTTCCAACCAAATATTTCTATCAAGAGCTATACAAAAACATTTGTGGAACAAATTAAGGCTTCCAATTTCTAATTTGTTTTCTATATTTGATACTAGTTTAAATTAATTAATTTACATCAATGCTAATTGTCAATGCTAACAATTCAGAAGAAAAAGTTGTGAAACATTTCTATTCAGAGAAAAAATATTCTAGGCAAAGAAGATTAATTCAGTGAAAAGACAGCTGGATACAGATAAGCAATTCAGTGGGAACATTCACTGTAAGTAACAAATACATTTGAAGCAATTAATAAGGGAGATGGGGGGATGGGGAAGACTAGCCTGTATAAACCCTATTTGAAGCTAAAGTAACATTTTGATGTGTACCTTGGAAAGCAATCCATGATCCTGGCTATTAATCCCACAAGGCCAGATTTCCCTGTCATTCAGAGCAGCTCTCTCACTTTTCCCTTTAGGGCTTGGTGTAACATCAGTGACTGTAACCTGTTCTTGTGAAGCTGAATTCCCTAGTTTGTCCTCAATGCGGGGCCGACAACTCAAACTAAAAGATACCTCCTATATTGAATAGTTTAGTATGTTAGATTTTGAAAATGTGCTCCAACTTAGCATGCATTTTTAAGTTACAAACCTACTTACTTCATCTTGTCAAATAATGAAAACTAGTATCTAAGAATATTTACTAAAGAGTGAAGACATTTTCAGTCATTCTTAGAATTTGCATAACAATAAAGCTCCATATAGCAATTAACATTATACGACCAGAAGTATGCACTCCGCATGTAAAATATTCAAGCTGCATGTAAAGAGAGCTTAGATGCAAAATTAAGAGCCAAATCAAAAACTTAAGCGCAAATTTTGCAAATATTAAGACAAGTGCAAGTTTACATGGATACTTCTTAAAAAAACATACCTGTCTTTTTCTGCATTTTCCAAATTAAATTTTTTAAGTTAAAAGTGCATCTTCCATGTCTATCATTTTATTTCTTTACAGGGATAGAAAGAGTTCTTTTAAAGCTAAAAATAATTACAAAAGCCTCTTAATGTTTTAACTGTGTTATTTCCAAGCAGGTAATTCTCCTTATCCATAGGACATTCAATGTGCTAACTGGCCAGAAAGAGTACTTGCTCACTGGTACCTTTCCTCAGTGTAATAGAACCAAGGACACAAAACTTATGTTATTGAAATGCCTTTATATCTACTACAAGATATGTTTACCATGTAAAAAAAAAAAAAAAAAAGCTTTTACAAATAGAAAGGAAGATTAGACTGCTTATCTCAGCACTAAATTCAGAACACTTTTTTCTGAAGAAGTGCCCTTCTTTCCAAGAAATGAGAGAAACTTCTGGGTTAGGTCAATACTTCTATCATATCACTAGAAAGATGCTTGGACAATGGCCCACGAATTATACATTTCTAACCCTTCCCTCACCCAACATCCAAAAATTTTCCACACTAACAGAAACAAACATAGAGATGAAAAATTGTATAGAAAGGTATTTCTTCCTATATCAAGTCAGTGAATTCTCTGCTAAAGTTCACATTTAATTCTTCATTGTACTTTGAAGAAAGAATAAAGACTTAAAAGACTCTTTACATTGTTGTTGTGACAGAATCATTACTTTTTTTTTTCATATTAAAAAGTCAATCCACACATGCATGGACATGTCCTGAATGGAGTGCTTGGGGATTTACTATTTTTTAATTTGACTGCAGTTCATGACACTATCATAAGACCCATGAAAAAACCCAAAATAAAGCCCTCATTTCTACCTTAATTACTAAAAGGCAGCTTACCGTGGTATCTGAAGCCTCAGACTGCACATCAATGTTTAGCGATGTGCTCTCACCTACAGAACCAGATCCCACAGCTGAATCTATAGTCCGAATATCATCCTCCTCATTTTCTCTAGCCTGAAATATTTCATTGGCACAAATCAAAAGCTATATAAGGGGGCAGTAAAAATAAATTATGGAAGGTACTACATACCAAAATCAACACCCTCAGTAGCACCATCAAAACATAAATGGTCAACTCCTAAAAAAAGCTTACAGTTCAGAAACAAACATATTATGTTCTCAAACTTACAAGCATCTTTTGCAAAAATTTCAGATAGGATTTCTCCTGCTCTTTAAGGTCATCTATAAGGTGTGATAAACGCTCAACATTGGCCGATCTTTCATTTTTCTCTACAAGATCATCCCGCATGGAGCTGGCCTTAGCAATATAGTCGCGAATCTGAACTAGTCTGCTCACAATCTGCAAAGACACTAAAGTTACTGAATGCATTCAGCTACAACTGCAACGTATTCAATGCACAAGACAGTGACAGCAACAGCAAAAGAGTAATGAAAGGGGGACATGTTAGTATTTTCACTCCTATGAGTGACTTCATTCTCCCACAAGTGGTTAAAAATCAGCCTTTGTAAGGATAGATTTGTGCATGCGGGAAGTTGCAAGGCTGAAGCACGGGGCTTCTGGTCAACACACGCTAAAACACAACTGAGCTCATCAAGCATAGGAAAATTATCAACTGTGAGAGCACTTTCTGAAACCACGTAAAAGAGAACCAATCTCTAAAATGAAAATTATCATTACTTCTGTTATCAACAAGCAGATTTCTAAAGAACAGTAGATAATTAACTTTGGGTTTAGATTTTCTCCAAATTTCAGAAGAGTAGGAAGTTAAATATTCCCAATAAAGATTTATACTCTGAAGAAATTTAGAAAGCAGCCCTGAAGATTAAGAGACAATATTTTGTAGACTTTATAGACTGTGTAAATACCTGGCTACTATCCATCGCTTGTTCTTGCCTTCCATCTTCTTGAGCAGACACTTGACAATTTGGCAAGAAATCCTTGCTCAGAGCAGCTCCAAACTCTTTACATTGTGCTGATACCACACCTTCCTTTTTTTGGGAACCTGAGGCAGGATCTTTGCTTTTGTTAGTGTTAATCTGCAGTGACAGGAAGTTGAATGGTTTTTTGTTTTCATTAAGTTGACGTTTGTTATTAGCAGCCGTTGCCCTGCCTTGAGAATCACTTCCAATGCTTCTCTATACACAAACAAAACAAAGAACAATTACTTTATTTTTTCATCCAGTATGTTCTCAACACTGCTTTGTTTCCCTCCTTGTATTACTATTTCTACAGTATTATGAGACTGATTTTAAAGTTACCTAATCAGTCACCAATTGGCCAAAAGCTGAAGACAGTGCCTTCAGTGGTAAAAAAAATTATTTGAAGACAGTGCCTTCAGTGGTAAAAAAAATTATTTTTTTACCATGAACTTTTCAGAAAGCAAATCCATCCTCCCAGGACAACAAGAAGCAAAAATGTTCCGTAGCTTCTCAGAATTTAGCTCCTCATTTTTGCTGTGACCTCAACCTTTACTGTAGTGAAATGTCCAGGTACATTTGAGAAAAGAATAGTAATAAAAGAGCAACATATTCCTATGCAGAATATAGTACCTCAGAAATTCAGCTTTTCTTTAAAACCCTGTGAATAGCAATGGTTTGTCTTAACATACATTTGAGGAGGAAGTTATGCCCAGCCTTTAAACTGTAAGTCAACACAGTGAATCACACTGGAAAGAATCTTCACAAACGGAGAAATTAGCAACAACCTTTGGTAAAAATGAACTAGCCTCTGTTCTGAAATTGTTAACACAAATTTATGCCTTGTTCAATAATTAATCCCTCATACTTTTCCTTTGTTTTGGACAAGGGAAGGACAAATGCGCTGTATTTCCTGAAAAGTAGTCATGGCACATGAATTTGTGCCATAAAATTCTCTACTCTACTGAGGAGCAGTTTTTAATGATACTCTTCGGCTTAATCCACAAGGGTAACAATGTTCAGAACCACAAAGTGGCAGTTCAAGAACAGACTTTCAAAATAAGGTAACAGCTACTTTCAAGTAGCACACAAGTCCGATGAGTAAGAAACACTGCTCCTAGGACACAGTAATTTATTAATGGCTGAGAGCAAGAAAGTGAAGACAGCTGGCACACAAACAGAGGAAAACCGTGGTCCTGAACTTTCCCTTGCTTTCTGAAGTTCAAAACCAGAATTTTGATTTGCTTGTCATGATGCCTATAAGGTTTTTCACCTTGATCACTTATGATTCTTTACTCATCTGTCACTTTATAAGGAGTTTACCGAATACACTTTGGAGTCACATCTCTAGTAGGAACAAGTAATCATACAAACCTGATCCAAATCACTGAAGTTTATTCTTTGTTTAAGCCTTTCTAGTTCAGCCTGCTCTGGAACAGACATCTGAGTCATGTATCGAGCATGAGGAAAGCTATGAGAAGTTCTGGTCTTCCGTCGTTCCATTCCAGGTGAAGATTCTGGAGATATGTCATTAGTAAGTCTTGTTTCACCTTCCCCACTAAGCTTTTTCTTGTTTTTTTCTGAAGATCTATTTGCTTTCTTCTGTTGACCTCCCCAGTCCTTAAGGGGAAGGAGAACAAAAAATCGTACTTGTTATCCACACAGACAAAAAGCAAATGTTTGCATTCAGTGAGAGAGTTTACCTCCATTTTAGAAGTGAAAATGGCAAGCCACATTGAAATATGCACCAAGTTTCCTAGAGCAAACTTCACTTAACAAAATAAAATTTTCTCCACTGCATAATTAAAAATAGTTAGTCAGGAAATTTTAAATCCATTTTATCATAAATGCATTCCATTCATTTCAAATGAAGGTCAAGTTGTATTTTTCTTCTTTGCTGGGGGCTCTTTCACTTTCAGGAGTTCAGAACTTTTAAAATTATAGCTTTCACTTTCATGTCACCTACAATGCTTTTGTGTCTAGTTACTTTATTTACTCAAAATGCTTGCCACAGATACCTCTAGACCTCACAATCTCTGAATTATACCCACTGCTTGCTTACATCTGCCTCAAGTTTTCCAGGTAAAGCTGTACTGGATGCAAAGCCCTGCATGATGAGGGAACTCTAGCTAATGTACAGCACCTAATGGCAATAGAAAGAAAAGACTAATTTTACCGTGTTGTTCAGTCGGTCGTCAAGGCTCTCATTGCTCCAGCTGGGCAAGTCCTGATCATTCATGCCTTCTTCAAAGGGACCACCTCCTGCTGCCATGACAAGCGATCAATAAAAGCAATCTATGAGAAGGAGCTGAAAGAAATGTGCTGTATTAAAATCAAGTCTACATAGACTATTTTAAAGATTCATGATCTGAAAAGACAACTACATATTCATTATAAGATGCAAACACAAAGCTGTTTAGGAAACTAAACTCCCCATTTCCTACCCTGTGTGACTAGAAATGTATCAATGAGAAGAACACAGATGAAAAAATAAAGAAATAGTAGTTGTGGTTTTGAGGTTTTTTAACCTGATCTATGAAAGAAAGTTTGGGGTGGTTTTTTTTGAGACTTTCAATTTTCCTCACTTTAAAACAAACTATACAGTGCTCAGAAAGGCTGCTTTGTAATTCAGAAAGCCTATAGTTGCAGGCCCAAGGTGACGTCTATTCAATACAATAAGTGACTTTGGAGAGCCAGTATGTCAAACTTTCACATTCATTTTAATACTGAGATGATAACAGAGTACTTAATTCTTAAAACTTATTCACTTTAATACTGAGATGATAACAGAATGGCATACTTGAAAAAATACAAGGAAAACAGACGTCAGTAAAAGGATTTTTACTTTCATTACCAAGCATTACGCTATTTAAGTAGTGAATGACTTGCCACTTACATTATACTTTCTACCAAAATCAAACAAAATAATGTGGGTTTCATAGAGCTTTGCTGCTCTCCATCAATGTCACTGTGCAATATAAAGAAACTTAAATGTTTCAAGTTTTCATTTTCACTTCTTGTTTTGACATTAGAAATAAAAAAAATTGTAAAAGTTGAAAGACCAGAAAAAGTATTCCTTTATGAGAGTAACATTAGATTAGCTTGTTGTATTAGCTAATATACCTATCTTGCTTAGGTATAGGATTCAATCGAAATCATACAGTACAGCCCTCTCAGCAGGCACACCTGCACAAAGCAGTATTCCTATGCAAACATAGCCTATCACTAAATCATAAAGGAAATGGGATCTATGAGGCACGCTCCTCAGACTATAACCACATCTCCACTCAGCAGCCCAGGTCACGATAACGCCGTTAGGAGTCATTCTGCTTCTGCATCTCACAACCACGATCATAAGATATGAAGAACAGGTGTAAGTGTCTGCTACTTTGGGAACTTTCCCCTTCTGTCCCTGCACAAGAACTCATACTGCCTTCTTCATTCCAAAAGAAGTGCCCATTAGGCCATGCAACTAGAGGCTACCACCTATGAACTAGATGGCCAACAAATAACACCAGAATTAAAGAAAAACAAACAAACAAACAAAAAGAGACACATTAAGAACAAGATAAACTTCCTGATGTGCCTAATTTTATGACTATACAAAACCTGTATGTTTCTTCTGTGCAACTTTCAGGTAATCTGTCTAATTCAGTTAGAAAATTAGAACACAATGCCCTTTCACATTTTATTTTCATGTATAAATACAAGCATACTATAAAAAGTTCACAGGGAACCTCATGCTAAAATTTACAAGCGTTCAAAACAAATGCACAATTATCAGTTTAAAAATAGTCACGATTTTAAACAACTTTCTTCAGTTACAGATAAACTGTTCATCTTTGTAGATGCAAGACCAAACAGACACTGTATCCTGACCTATGTCACTGAGCATAATGAGGAAGATTAGAGGCCATCTGGGTTTACAGTCCAATTCTGTAAGCCCTTTCCTCATCATCATGTTATATAATTCTATCAAAACCATAGCAAAAGTAGTTTTTCTCTACCTTCCACTGCAAAAAGAAGTGGCGGTATTCATCTTTATATAATACAAGTATTACAATACTCACATTCATTTATTTTGAAACTTTCACAAAACCTGTCTCAACTATCTTTGCTGTAGGAGACTCTCATTACCTCTGAAGTAAATTCACTGCTCCAGATGGAATATTCTGAATAACAGGACTCTCAAACAAGGAGACTGGGCATACACCAACACGCCCTGATGATTTTGGGGCTAAAAAATAACAGTATCTTCATTATTTCCACAAAGTGGACTTTAGAGTGCTCTAACAGAACTGTGCCCCTCCCAAAAAGAAAGTTTCTAAACATTCCTATTATAGTCTTTGATACCTCCAAATGAACTATAATCAAGTTTAAGATCAGATAGCTCTGATGGTATTTTACCTCTTTAACTCAGTTGAAAAACACAAAGAGGTTCAGCTACATTTTTTCTTCCTTCACATGAAGCTGTGCTTTCCACCTCCACATACACCTTTCACATTTTGCATTTTTATTTTGATTTTATTTTACCAGCTATTTCTATAAAAAATCCTATTCTAAAAGCTTTTCTATCTTCCCATTATCTACCTGTCTATCTACAGTAACCCATTGCCAGTTTCAGGTTATTGCAAGTCATAGGATCTGTTATAAAAGCTTCTGAGCATGTGCCTACTGCCTCATAACATTTATCAGGGATTTGAGAAAAAAAAAGAAGACTTTCCAGTCTACCTTCTACATAAATACTAACTTCAGCTAACATGTAGGGATTACAGGCAAAACATGTTAGAGTCAAAACATCCTACACATGTAATAGCAGTATGTAGATTGCACAGAAGAAACACTATTTAACATGCAAACAAAACAAAGCCACGTACTTCAAAAGGCTTCTTTTTCTACAGTAAAGATGCTCTTGAGATTTTTTCCTATAGTGTTAATGTGAATGCAAAAGCTCTCTAGAGCACCTAATATTGCAAAGAGAAAACTTTTGACAATTAAAAAAAAACCTACACGTTACACAGAAAGTCACAAAAAGCCATCACAACACCATAAATGCTTAAAATAAGGCCAAACATTTCTTTTTAAGTTTAATAATGCCCTCACTGGGCATTAACTCCTTAAAAGCAAACCATCAGCACACAGGAGCAGTCAACAGAGCAAATTCTCTCCAGCCGCACCGGACACCGCTCACACGAGCCGCACACTCACACACCCTGGCTAGGGGCGGTGTGCCCGGCACTTCCAGCTTCCAGAGCCGGGGCCTTCCCAGATCCCGACCGACTCCGATACCACAGCGGGCGCCAAGCCCAGGCCCAGAGGGTCTCGTCGTCGCCAACGGGGCCGGCGGAGAGAGCGATGGCCCGGAGGAGAGAGCGATGGCCCGGCGGCTCTGCCGGCCGCGCCGCTCGCTGCCTGAGGCGGGCGAGGCGCTCCCGGCCCGGGGGCGGCGGGCGCAGATCCCGCTCCCTCCCGGC